TTTTAAATATTTGATTGAATAACTTCCTAATTAGAAATGTTCAAATAATTAGTCACTCTAATTTTTTTTACCTTAAAATGGATAAACCATTCACTATAATTCTATTTAATTTAACCATATTTCCTTTTTTTTACCATTTAATATTCGCCATTGCATGTTTATATGTTCGAATGATTTTCAATTTCAATCCAATGCCCAATCTTAACTCGCTAACCTAAGTCATCATATGATCCACAACCACTAAATTTTTACCATTTTAATAGAGATTTATGATTACATCAATCTATTTTCTTTTCCATCCTCCCTACACTAAATATCCCATCTACCAACTTTTTGATTTTTTTTACATTCTCCACGATAGGTAATATAATACATTTTATCAAATTAATTACTAATATCAATCCTACTCCGCCACTACTCAATATAATAATTTTTTACTTACATACTATTAATTTATTTAAGATTATAATAACTATCTCATACTCCAACTTTTCCCATTTTAATATTCTCCAATAATAGTTACTGTTGTTAAATCTGAATATTCAGACATTAATTCTTTAATAGTTCTTTCTATAATCCTTATTTTTCCAATCACAAGAGTAAATTGTTTAAAGTAGCATCTTTCTATGTTGCTATCCATTTACCTGCATTTTGGTTACTATATCCCTATTTTCCAGACCATTATAGAAATTGTAGTTAATCTAAATTCGTCAACACATAGAAACTTTCTGATTAAGCTAATTTCTTCTCATTTCTATCTTCATATGTATCCTAAGTTTCATATTCAAATTTTAGGCAAAACTATTTTCTATTGTTATCACTTTTTAATTTATATCGTTTTTGATTACTTTTAGATGATGTTATATTTGATCATTCAACCTTTAAAAGAGATTTATAAAATGTGAGTTTTTTCTCCTCAATTTTTTTACACTTTAGTGTTTAGAAAAAGAAAAAATATCTCATGATAAATTGATTTTTTTTAAGGATATTTTAAGTGAAAATTAATTTAAATGTTAGTTTGAATTGTAGATCAAAAAGTAATTAAGAATAACAAATAAATGTTAATCTTTTCTTTATGTAATAGAATAAAGATAATTATAATCTTATGCAAACTATCTCTATAACTAAAATATTTTCTCAAAAATTAAATCTAACAATCAAAAAAAATGATATTATTTCTGTTTAATAATGTCCTTTCATATATTTTATTTAATTTAATTATGTATTGATATTTTATTTATTGAACCCAAATAAAAAAAAATATCAATTAACAATTTATACTTTCGAACATAGAAAATTTAATAAAATTATTTTTTTAAAGTTGTAACTTATGAATATTAATATATTTCCTAACTTTAAATCAATTTGCTGTTTTATCACCAAAAAATACAATCTTAATCATCTTTATCCTCCCTATACTCAACCAAAATTACGATATGTCTTATTTCATATAATGACTAATTTACTGAGAATTTTATACAATTTAATATTACTTGCCCTATTTGGCTTAATAGGGCAGAAAAACAATTGTAAAATTACAAAATATATAATTTTTTCATATTTAAATTAGAATTAACTTATACTCTAAAATATTTACTCTAATAAAATGTAATTCCTTAATAAATTAATTCTTAACACGTCACAATCGAGGGGCTGATAAAATTTTCTGATTAGAGCAAAATTCTATGTTAAATCCTTTCGTAAGTATGATATCATATTTTTAGTATAATATTATTGAATAAATATATTTTGATAAAAGTACTCTAATTGGGTTCAACTATCAAAAGGTTTTTTATGATATCCACTGTAAATAGTTTAAAGTATAAAATTGAATAACAAATAAGCTCAAAATATAAGTTTAAAGTGGAGGGAAAAAGTATCCCAATCATAATTTTGGTCTCTTATTCTATACTAAATCATTCTTTGTTTGATGATTTGACTAGCATTTATGATTTCAGGTCTTAAGGGCTACTTGCAATGATGGTGTTATTTTGAATGTGATCCACTTAGTTGTGAAAATCCTGTAGTACTATTTTCAATAGAATAGGGTTATGATGGTAATTCAATACTCTTGGTGGTTATTATCAATGTAGATATGAATATCTACCTAATTTTCTCGATTATAATGAAAAAATAACTATTAGAATTATTTATCTACTGCGCTATGTCTTAAATGTGAAGAATGCTTTGAAACAAATTAGTCTCATTATTTTTCTATATTTGGAAGTGGTTTAATTATTTAAAAATTTGATACTGAAACCTTTAGTATAGAAAAATTGTAAGTTATTTAATCACTGGATTTGTTTATGCTAAAACTCTACTTTTTATGATCAATTGGGTTAATAATTTAAATTTTGTATTTTGTAATTCTATCACCTCTAAATTTAAATTAAAAATTTACTTTAATAAATGAAAAACCATTCTTCAAAATTATTTTTCTATTCATATGTTACCCTTTAATCCTCTCTAATAAATAAGTATAAACTTCTTAATTTAGGCAAAAAAATATCAATAGATTATTCATGTGTAGAGCTATTTCAGTTAGTTTGATTTCATTATTTGCAGGAGATTCTTCATTCATTTTAGAAACCTTATTGTATTTTAATAACAATTTTTTTTGAAATTTTGAAATTTTGATTATCGTGATAATTTCACATTTACTTTGAAGCCTCAAACATTTTAAGTGTTAGTCCATATTTGAGTTAATTAAATTTGGATTATTGTTATAATCTCATATCACAAAAGACAGAACCTTAATAAGTGAACCGTAATCAAACTTTATGATGTCTAATTTATATTAAATTTAACAAATCTTTAAAATTATAAAGTTAAATCGCTATCGTGTCTAGAATAGATCCTGGAATGATTACCAATTTACTTCCTTAGGTTTTTAATGTTCAGCACAATTACTTAAAATATTATATTTGCTCTATTTTTTTAATGATGATCTTGGATTGTCAAGGTGTTAAAACAGTTTTATTAAAAAAAATTGTTAGGTATTTGAAAGTACAAAATCTTCATATTTTTATTTTAACATTTTTGATGATGTATATGAGCAAAGTCATATTTAATCGCTCTCAACTATTTTGTTATTGTACAGAATTCTTTACTGAAAAATTACATGTAAATTCTGGTGGGAGATTTAGTGGAAATAGTTTTTGACAGAATCGTTATTAATTAATATTAAAGTGTTAGTAGATTGAAAAGTATAAAGAATTATTTAACTCTTTAGTCTTATAATTTTGGTTTTTTGGTAAATTATTAAATATTATTTTTACATTTTTTTCACTCAAAAAATTCAGTTACAACCTTTTTTCCATTTTTGAATTCTAATTGATTCAATATTTAATTTATCTATATTCAAATATAGAAAAAAAATTTCTGGATAAGTATATTTTTTTTTTCACCTTATAAAAACAGCTATAACAAAACTTAATGATTGTTTGTTATCTGTTATTTTCTTCTTAAATTATGTGTATGTATGCCCTTAATTTGGAGAAATTTCTATTTTTTGTTACTTTAGAGATTTTCATCATAAGAATTGAAATTACAAAATAAAAATGAACACTTTCCTCCAAGATGCTAGTTTCGGCAGGGAAGGAAGATGAAAGTAATTCTTCATCAAATTTAACATTTTTTTCCTATTCTTTCTTTTTGACCTTCCTTAATGTTCTCTCACCTCCTTACGTAAATTCTTCTAAATCAGAAAAAGGGTAGAGGATGTGGATCTGTCTCCTGGGTAATTCTATAATAAGATCATCAAAAAATAAAAGTTGTATCTCCTAATTATCCATTATTATTATGCATTTTAGGTGATTATTATTACATTCTGCACAATACTCAATAAGCTTTTGAATGCTATCAAAAAGCCATAAATTCTTTTTAGAGTTTAAAATAATCAGAAATTGTGAAATGTAATTTAAGCCAAGGAAATATTAATTTTATAATAGCTAAGATTGAAATCCTTAAACAATTAGAAGAAGAAATTGTACAATCTAAATACTTTTTAGAGAAGCTACCAACTGAAACACTATAAGAATAATAGAATAAACAAAATTATATTACAAAAATAGAATAATATCAAAATGAAATCAAACCTATTCTTACAATCCCAATAAATCAATCGATAAGGCTTGAAAAGTAATAAATTTAAAATGAATAACTGAATTAAATATTGTTAAATATTGAGCAGTTAAAATAAGAGATGTTAGTAGCAAGATAGAAATTAAATTGAATTGTTATTAAACGACCTTAATAAACCAGAAAACTAGTATTAAAAAACTTATTACTAATCTTTATTTTGGAGACTTTACAACTACTTACAAGCAGTATAGTAAATTTCAACAGACTTATTTTAAATAAATCAAAATGCTGTTATTGAAACAAGCTCAGAAAAGGTTTTAAATATAGTTCAAAAAATTTCAAATATTGGATCAGTTGGACTTTCACCAATACCAATAATTGGAGATGCTTTTCAAATTATAAATGCCGCCCTTGATTATGCAATTGATGAAAAGAATGCGAATAAATTTAATAAAAGAGTAAAAATTCTAAGCGAAATACTAATATTTTTTGCTATTAATCCATAATAATTAGAAATTGAAGTGTAAATGGCAGCAATATCTTTAGGAAAATAACAATAGGTTAATAGGCAAAAAAGAAAATAAACCATTTTTACAAATAGAGTTAAAGATTTATTAGCAAAAGAAAGCAGTTCTTCTGAATTATTTAAGAATATATACTGGATTTGTGGAACAGAAGATGCATTAATCATTTTAAGCTATTTAGAAAAAAACCAAGAAAAAATATTAAAGGAATAATAGAAAAAGTTAAGGGAGATATTTGAAGATGCAGTTAAATCATATAAATTTTTACCTTAAAACAATTCTCCAAAAGTGGATACAGATTGTTCCTCAGCCTGTTAAATGATTTGATCATTCATTCAATATTAAATAAAAATTAATTTCATTCTAACCAACATTTTATTATATATATTTTATCAATATTATCAATTGTTATTCAATTATATGCTTACAATAAAAACTTGTGATGTTCACATAAACATAAGAACATTGTGTTACAGATCTTTGTGGTCATATTACATGTATTTAGAAGGGAGAAAATTGAATTAGATTTCTATCAGATATTAGCAATTAGAGACAATTAGAATCATAAAAGGGAATTTCACACAAGCTGATACAATATAGAAATTTTCTGTTATTAGAAGTGAAATTAAATAAATAATAGATGTCTTAAAAAACGTAAAAGATCGTGACTTCTATAACAAAATTATGTAGCCTGTTTTATTAAAAAAACTCGTTTTATCTCTTAGCCAGAATAAGGGTAGATTTTCTTAATCATAACTACTGGATTTTAATTTATTTATATCAGGAGAGAAAAAGACTGAGTTGATTTCACTAGTATGACCATCCAACTTTATTCAATTCATGGATTTTAATATTCTTCCATTTAGTTAAGCACCATTCAAATTGACTCCCCTTATTTTAACAATTAAATTATCTTCTCCTCATGTAATATTTGATTAATATGATCTCATTAAGTTTTTTTTAGTAGTTTTCAAATTAATAGCTTATTTTTGTAATGTCATGTATCTTAATTTATTTGATTGAATTAGTTGTTGCTAAATGTTCTTTCTAAATTGTCTATTTTCTATTATTTATTTATCAAAAAGTGATATGTTGTTTTTAATTTACTATATAATGTACTTGATTATCATCTTATGAAAGAAATCTAATGCAAACTGAAATTCTATATTTTTTGAGTATTTCAATTTTCACATTCGATTTATCAATATAATTTGATCTAATACAAATCTTCGTTTACTAATGATTAATTTTTTATTTTCCAGCTTTTTAATTACTAATTTTTTAAATTTCATTTTTTCCAATGTTATCAAATTTGAACTTCTTAAAATATTTTTCCTATTAAGTTATAGGAAATCATCTGTACCCTTTTTTTAAATGAGATTTCTTTCTTAAAACTAATTTTTATAATCATCATAATTTCCGTAATACTACTAAAGCTCGACACTAACATTTAAATAATTGTCTAAATTAGTTTTTAAAGATTAAATATCAACAGAATATTTCTTATCATATTAATTATTTCAGTAATTCTAATTTAGCAATAAGAAGCAATTAATCGGAAAATTATTGTTAATTTATTGTATTCTACAATTCTACAACATTGAAAAATTTAATTTCTAATAATTGTAATAAAATTGAAAAAAAAGAGTTTCCTTTTCATAACTAAATTTAGAATAACCATTAAACAATACTCATAAGATTTGTTCCATTTTTCATTATTTGATTCTGAAAAATTCCTATTAAATGTTTACTATTGTTTATTTATGGAATAATAGTGAATTATTTTCTCAAAAATAGTAAATTCCTCACTTTTTTGTCTCAATGATTTAAGATGAAACTTATGAAAGCAAAATTACATGTTAATTCTATTTTATAAGCATATTTTCACAATATTAGTTAGGCATATATTTGAAATAACTCCTTTATTTTTCAAATTTAGTGATTGATGCTTATCTTTTTGAAAAAAATATTAGAATATGATCTGCTTTTACAATAAAAGACTAACTATTTAATTTCGCCTCTTAAATCATAATACTTTTTCTTAAGATATATTTATACAAAACCACACTTTCTTTGTTATGAATAAATATGAGAACATAAATTTTCATAATCGATGTTTTAATTTTACTCTTCTTGCCCTTCATTAATACTAGATCTTGAGTTTAAAGCTATTTGTTTTCTTCTTAGAAAACCACCCATCTTTGAATTTTTGAATATATACTTTAGATTTTGCAGAAAACTTAAACTATTCATAAAATTGGAAATAAAATTAATCCAAAAGTCGAATGAAGATAATTGGTTGATAATTGCTTAATAAATATATTCTGTACTGACCTACAAAGTTTGCTTTTTGATTACAATTCTAAATATTATCGATAATTACTCTATTTGAATTTTTCAAAAAGATCTATCCTTATTATGCATTGCTTATTTATATGATATTTCTTTTATAAACATTAAAGATCAAAACTATTTTATGAGTTCCTACCACACATATGTAATTAAAATACTTGGTGTACGAATGATGAGATATTCCAAAGCATTAAACCATTCTGTAAAATGAAAAAGTAATTATGAGTAATTTATCATAGTTGATGTGGATTAAATGATGATGATAATGATTAACTAAAGCAGTGAATAAAATTTATATACTGGATAATTGTCCTAGAGTACTAGAATTGGCAGTTAGTAGTGAAGATAAGTCTATCATAAACGGCCAAATTTAGCAGCCATACTAATAAAATTTATCCTATTAATTAAATCAAAAAAAATTTATACAACATATATATATGAATAAATAATTATTAATTAGTGAATGTTGAAGTGAAGTTGATTAATTTGAAATAACTATATAATAATTAATTTATACCAAAAGTAAACCGAAAAAGTAATTATTAAAAATTTTGGATAAATTTCTTAAGAATAATAATTTCATCAATTTTACCATCCAAACACGTATTTTAATACATTATTGACTAATGTATATTTTTATATATTTAATTTGAAAATAAATAATCGTCATTAATTAATTACATCATTGGATTAAAATATACATTAGTCAATAATGTATTATAATACGTGTTTGGATGGTACTAAATTTACATTATAAATGAAAAATTTGGAATGACTTTATTATCTACTTAATAAAGTAAATACTAGATCATTTAATTTTTATATCCATTAATACTAATAAATGTAGGATATTCTAGGACTCTACATATAGCCTAAGGTTCAACATTAGAAAATTCAATAATTGATTTAGAAATGAAAACACAGCATTAACATGAAGAGTTAGATAAAGCTATGAATAGAGTTTTTTTTAACGTAAGTTTGAAAATGATAACATTAAAGTTCTAGTGAATAGTGAAACAGATGAATTTTTTAGGAATAATTTTATAGATGCATCTAAGTATTTAGATTATCAATACTTGAGTACAATAATTAATGAATAATTTTGGAAATTATTTAATTGATATGCACACATATTAGCAAAAATAATGATATATAAATAACTTACACATAATATCCAGTTAATATTAGCAAAAAATGCTAGTATTTTTTTATTTTAGCTGATTTCGATTCTCAAGAAATGTTGTCTTGTAAATGGAGCCTAAATAGCTAATATTAGATATTTTTCATAACATTTTAGAACTAAAAAAAGTTGCTGAGCTGTTATCTTTTCGAAAAAATATCTTCAATAAAATCAAGAGATAAGATAAAATAGTTGAACAAATTTTATAAAAACTTGTTTTTTGAATTTAAAAAGTGTTTAGCGTTTACCCAATTCTATGAACAGATTTTGAATTTCACTTTTAGTATCCATTATTTTTGGAAATTTCAGTATAAATTTATAAATAATTTATGAAATTATCTTTTACTTGCTTCTTGATGTCTTTTCATAAACTATCAAAAGACGACCATAAATTTCTCTTATATAATATATTTTTATTGCTACACTATCAAGAATGAGTGAATTAAGAATAAAATGATGTGAAGTTATTTGTAATTTCCTATTTTCAATTTTATGTTCTCTCTCTATCTTTCATTTTGAAAATATCAAATATATAACATAAGTGCTAGTGCTTATTTTCATTTATAAAGTGGGTAAAATTTTTTTTATTTATTTACCCAAAAATGATTTTTCAACTTACTTACTTATCCTAATGCTACCAAAAATAATTGAATATCAAAAATTGTTGGAATTCTCTTCATTTACAGATAATACCTTCACAAATTTTGATGGTATTATAATTACTAGAAATGAGGTTGGAATTTAATTTTTGTTTCATAATAAGGATCTGGAATTGATAAGCCTCCTTCATTAACTAAAATTAATTCAGTATTTTGGGATCGCTTTAATCTTCTTTTTAATCAATATGGAAGTGAATCTGTATTTTTAGGAATGATTAAATATTATAATAATCTCAAACTTCATAAAGCATTGATTGTTGCTTTTTCGATTTATCTATTACTGCTTCGTCTATATTTATTTAATTTACTAGTAAAGCTATTGGTGCTGATGTATTTACTAGACTAACAAAATTAGAAAGTAATTTTTGGTATCAGGGATTTTTATTTATATTCAATTCCATGTCCAAATAATTGTAGAAATTGCAAAATGACTGATACATAAGAATATATGAATGTATAGATTTGCAACTTTCTTCAGAATTTTATTTCGAAATAGACAGAAATTTGTTTAATTGCGATGGTTGGACAATCATTTAAGCATCTCAAAGTTTAATAATTCATAAATCATCTGATTGCAGTAGTGAAAGTAATGTCATTTTTACATATCTATTGATGTAAATTTATTTTAGATACTTGGATTAGTGGATATGGGAGACTAAATTAGGAAAAAAATTATCTTAGAACCTCATTACAAAATCAACATATAATATTTGCATGTAATACTTTAATAAGTATTTGCCCCTTCAACATTTTGGCAGGGGTAGTTAAATGGTAAGACAGAGTATTTAATCGGATATGCAACCTAAGATAACATTCTTCATTTTTTCCAGACTTATTGATAATACCCGTGGTGATCTGATTGCTTAAGTAGAATTTGATTCTTTTCATTAAGACATCATAGTTGAAATTTTTACATCTCAAATTAATCATTTTAAGGTTGGAAAACTAAGTGGGGTCTTTGAACTATTAGGTTATAATAAAAAAATGTCATCCTAGTTGCTTATATATTTGTAAAGGTCCTAAAGAGAGTTAATGTCAAAATATTTAGTATCCTGAATATACTTTAATTGCCAACAATCTGAAATTAAATACATTCAGCGATGATGAAGATTGGTAGGTAGTGTCCACATTTGAATTTTCTTTACCAAATGAATGTAATAATTAAGCTTTACTTGGAGGATATTATATTTTATAAGGAAAATATTTACTTTAAAGTGTTTATGTTTTGAAAACACATATTAAAATAGGTATATGATTACATAAGATATCTTTAGTTGTAAAATCTACTATTGTTATTTAATTAAAAAAAATGATTTATTTTTATTTTTATTAAATTATAATTCTATCATCCTGAAATTACTTATAGTTTTAATTATTGAAACATGTGTGATGATAATAAATATTTATCTTATATTTAATTTATTATATAAAATCATAAAATAAAAAATTGATTTCACAAATACATCGATTGTGTATTAATATGAAATACCTTCAACAGTTGATTCAAGAAATGAAATGACATATTGTGGTGTGTATGCTCAAATTGATTAAGTAATGAATGTCGGTGTTGTATCAATTCCTCATATAAGATCTAAGTAATCATACAGATTTACACAAATTACTCAGATACATCAACAGGTAAATGTAATTTAAATATTCTTAGCTTATTGGAGTATAAGAGAATTCATACTAAAAGTAAATGGATTTCCTAACCTGAAAAATTTAAATGACTTAAAGTTTTCCAATAATAAGATACCTCCTTGGAAAATAATATTCAAAAATGCACCAATATTGTAATGTGGTTCTAATCCATTTATTGGAGGATCAAATGCATTAGATAAAGTTCCTATTTGTTGAAATAGTTTGAAAATCTACCTACATATGTCCAAATAAGAATAAGTTTTTCTATTTTGATAATTTAAACTTCACTTAATTAGACTTAACTTAGTTTAAAATAAAAATTAACGATTTAAATTTAATGAATCAATCCAAACACAGTTATGTATAAAACATACCTAGAGTCATCATAATCACATTAAATGTTTAATAAAAAAAGTAAAAAGTACAGCAATTATTTATTATCTTTTTTCTTATTTTAATAGTTTATTTGTCAGACCATCTGCAGAGGATAAGTGAGAAAACAATAAGTTGAAAAAAATAATTTTAGAAAAATATTTATATATAAATAATTTATAGAATCTTCTTTTTCAAAAACTCTCAAAATAGCAATTTATTAAAAAGAGTTTGCTTTTGCTTATTCAATTAGATTCGGGGTTTTTAAAGTGATAGAAAAGCTTAAATAAATTATGTGTTATTTATATAATTTATTATAAAATGAACAGTATATGAAAATGATACGCTTTTTCTATGGTTTAAAATAAAATTGTATCAATTTTCAAGTATTACTAAAATTAATTGAAAATGGCAATCGAAAGTGAATTATTGTATGCTTTATATGAATTTTATAAAATTAATTTCATATGAATAGAAGGGCATGATCAAAGGTAATTAAAAAAATTAGAAGGTTGAGATATGTTAATAAACAAAGATTCTAATATTTGTAAAAAACTAGAATATGATATGATTATTCCTATTATAAATTTTTGCATCATCAAAACTAAGATTTCAGAGTAGATCCATTAGAATTTTCATTTTCCATTTCTGTATGCTGCTTTAACATGAGTGTTAATGAGGCTTATTACTAATGCTAATCCTCAATTTTTGATTAACATTTAAATTAAAAAAATATGAATTTTCATTTTAACTCTTTCTGATGTTTAAAAAATCTTAATTAATGTTTATATCATGATTTTTGTTTTTTCAAGTTTTAAAACAAATTTTGGAATACTTTAAAAAATAGATTTGATTCAATCTTTCATTTGATTTTTTAAATAATTTATGACCTAATTAGTATCACAATTTAAAAGAATGAGATTTTTTTATTATTATCTAGATTTTAAGTTTAAGAAATTGGTACCTCCTTTTCCAAAAATCTACCTACAACCATATTTTATTTTGGCAAATCATCTAAACTCTGAAATCTAAAAAGAATAATAATTCTTTTATAGAAAGTAACAACATACTGATTATATTTATTAAATGAATGAAATAACTGAAATAAAAAATTACATTTTTATAGATTTGTAAATTCAATTAATAAATTTAATTAAATTATCTAATTATTTTGGGCTCTTTTATTCAATAAATAGATGTAAGATTACAAAATCACTTTAAAAAAAAATTTTAATAAAAATATAATAATTCTCTCATTAATCATTTTTATTTAAATAATTAACATAGGATGTCAAGTGCATTTCAATTTTCATATTAGAGGGGCTGGTGTAATGATGGGTGATATTTTATGGAAATTTATGAGAAGGAGCACAATGTGACAACTGAGAAGAATTACATATATATGACTCAGTTGATGGAAATTATCATCCTTTAAACTATTGCTGATTTAGATGACATAATGATTTATGAAGTTTAAAGAAATAAATAAATCAAATTTTAGAAGCATTGATTTATTCATGGAAAAGAGAACGCATCAAATTATCTATTCTAGAAGAATTTATACGTTAGGAAGAAGCTGAGTTGATTAGGTTTAGACTTTATTAGGAAATAAATAGAATTAGATTAATTTCTAATAACAACATCAATAAGCGGAGGGACTGGGTCTGGATTTTCTAGTTTATTAATGAGTAGATTAATTGTTGATTATGGAAAAAAAACTCAAAAAAAAAAACTGGATTTATATTATTCCCATCCTCATAGATGTCGAATAATGTTCTTCAAATTTATAATGGTATGTTTTCGATTTATATGGCAATTGAGTATTTTGACAATATCATTATGTTTGACAATTAGTCAAATGTACAATGTGATTGATTAACAATTAGATTTAGATTATGTAGATTATTCACATTTAAATAACGTGATTGCAAAAATAATTAGTTCATACACTATATTAAAAAGATTTAACAATATTGAAAATTCCAAATTTTTTTTTTAAGTGTGTCCATATCATGATTTGCAATTATTTCATTCCTTCATATGGGAGAACGAGTTAATAAATGATTATACTAGAAAAAAATAAAATCAAATTAAATTCATAAAAAATCTCAAACGAAAAGAACATATATTTTTTAAATCAATAACTTAAGTACAACATAGGATTTTATAAAGATAATATCAAGAACTAAATTAAAAATTAATATTTTAGTGAAAAAAATAATTTTTAAGACATCCATCATCCATTCTAAATTAAAGAGAAACCCAAATAGGGCATTTTTATCGAATAATGATTTAAACAGATATGCTCAAATAGCCTATTGATTTATTCTTTAACAAACGATCTATCTAATAAATAATATTTTGACACCATATAATAAATTTTGAATTAAAAATAACTTTTCTCATAATCTAAATCTACAAGTTTTTATTTCCTTATAAATAAAAGTAATTTTAATTATAATTTCTATAGCAACTCTATCATAGTCACTCTTTGTTATATAGAAAGTTATCTATAGTTTTATTTAATCAAATATTTAATTATTTTGATTTAAATCACAATACTAAATTTTAGTTATTTACAAAAAAGAATAGATTATTTATTTTAATTTATTATTATCCTAAATTTTGCATTAAGATTTTATTATTGATAGAGTTTTGAAGTAATTCATTAATTTCAGGTTATTTATTACTATAATCTACTGGAAATATTATCAATATATTAAATTAAAGTATTATTACATAGAAAAATAAGATTTATTTAATATTTGTTTAAGTTCACCATTCCTTTATTTTATTATTTTATAAAGTAATTTTACTATAATATTTAATTTGTATTCATTCCTAAAATCCCATTTGAAACAATGAGTTTAAATCCATTTTTTAAGAAGAAAAAAAAATGTCATATAGAATATTGTATTTAACATAAATTTGCTTTAATATCAGTTAACATTATTAATCAATATCATTATATGTGTCTTATAATTTATTATTTGGTTATATCCATATTTAAAATTTACTATTAGAACAAAAGAGATCAATTTAAGTATTGATCTTTAGTAATAACATTAAAGTTAAATTAATTATTATCATTGTGAAATGAATTTATTTTATGAAAATAATTATACATCATTATAAAAAATATTATCTATCCATCAATATAATAAAAAAATAAATTAAGGGAGTATTTGTGAGAAATTATATTCTATTGCTATCTGATGAAATAAAATAGTTAATATTTTTTCTTTATTAGTAATATAAATAAATTATATTTAATACTAAAAATATTTTTATTCTTTAAATGAGAAATTTGTGATTCTTTATATATATAAAATTTAAACCTCATTTAGAAGTAATCTTAAATCTCTTACTTTATTCGGTTATAATTGGTATTTTATTATTTCAAGAGGAATGCTATTTATTCATTATTTTAGTTATCTTTGATGTGTTCTCATTAATAAAAAATAAATTTAGTAATAATCTGCTAATCTGAAAATTTAAGTTTCATATTCTCAATGAATAAGACCTAAATAGAATAAAAATTTTAATATATTAAATTTTTATTCTATTTAGGCATATAAAAAATGAATTCTAATTGTATTGAATTTAATAATTAAATATTTTGATGGATTATAATAATTACAACGATTAACAACAACAGCATTAAATGCTTGAATATTAGTAAGAAGAAGCATAGATAATATACAATCTATATCAAGACTTATAAAACTTAATTAATTTATTATATTAAAGGAAAGCTGTAGTTGATCATTTTTAGAATGATCCTATTGATCCAATGGTTATTGTAAGTAATAACAGAATAATTTAATAATTAAACATATCAAGTAGAATTCATTAAAATTTGTAGTAATAATAATTTAAAAATTAAATTTACTTATACATTAATTTAAAAAAAGAAATGATGAATGCAATATGGACACTAAAAAATGTATCTTTTATATTTGAGAGTCAAGTTGAAACTAAAAATTAAAAAAAAAATAATATAGATGATCCAATAAAAGTTTATTTTAATTAGTATATATTTAGCTATTATTTGGGATAATTTATATATAATCATTTTGAATTATAGAAGACTAATTTTTAAGTTTAATCTTATGAGTAATTTTTAACATCAATACTAACTATTGATCCTTAAATAAATAGCGTAAGACATCGCGACTATTAGAAACCAACACACAAATAATTGATATAAAGAGCAGAGTAATTATATATTTTATTTTTAGAGAATGTTATGATAAGACTAAAGAAAAGTTGAATTAAATTTATCCATTAAAGAATTAAACATAGTTCAAAAAAAAAATATAACAAAAAAATCTTCAGGAATAGAAAGCTCATTCTGAAATTATTGAAAAATTATAATCCACAAATAATTAAATCAACCTAATAAAATCAGATACATTTAGTGAGGAGGAGAGATTTTATTTATTTTTCAATTGTTTAGGATATTTTGATAGATTTATCAATCAAACAAAATTTGGTTTAGAATTAGAAGAATTATAGATTAAAGCTATACAGATCTTTTAAAGTGATAATATTTTATCTTCTATTGAAAGAGAGTTTGCATTAAAAGTATTAGAATTCAAAGGTTTTTTTTAAAATCAAATAACTTTACATTATTATTTTGAATTGTTTATTGATTTTCAGAAGTATATTAAATTTTAGAAAGACTAGACAATTTAAATCATTAAAAATTTTATCACTGATAATAAGAATAAAGGAACACTTGATTCTCGTTTTTTTAAATATTTACTTCATCAAAAAGTTCTGATAGAACAATATTTGACTTAATATTATTAGATATAAGATATTCAAAACAGGTCTAATAATGAAGAATCTGATGATCAGATAGATTTGTTAGAAACAAATCCAAAAATTTCAAAAGTAGATTATGTTAAGCAAATGTTTAAGGGCTTTTGTAGTTTTTATCAAATTTAAAAGAATTGATTATTAAAGAATAAATAAAATTGTTAATCTTATTATTTTATGAAAAACAAATATTATAATTTATAAAAAGAAAATTGATCTTTACTAAATTTTTACATTTTAATGATTGATAAATTTTAATAAAGATCTTAAATTATAATTAATAATAATAAAAATATGAATATAAAATGGTTTTTAATATATAATAATTAAACAATGTATGCCTTTCTTTTATTCAATTATAAATACTTCCTTCCCGAAAATTAAAGACTCAATTGATTATTACAATAACTGCTGCAATACAAAAATTAGTAGCAATAATCATTTGCATTAGTCAAGTTTGTGATTATATCATCTAATCTTGTTTATATATCTTCTTTTTACTCTTATTCCACATAGAAACCACCACAACTTAGTTATTTTAATAAGTAAAAATTTTACAATTACTACCAATAAAGATGATTTGACATAAATTAGTTATATAAATAGGCGATATTCTGAAAATCTGTTTTATTTCTCAATTTATTTTACAATTTTCATTCTTTTTGAATTATATGGTCCGCTCCCACTTTTAAAATAAAATTATATAAAGACATAATTATTTCTGAATACAAAATTATGTTATCCATCATCCAACTTTAATTCCTTCCTTATAATCACCTTCATATCAAACTTTGGGTTTACTAAAATTATCTTAAAATAAGATCCATTTGCAGAAATTCTCAGATATTTTATCCCATTTGCTATTTTATAATGATCCTCTCTAATATATCCTCTAGCTTTTAATTTTTTTTTTTCTATAAGGAAGCCATTTCACTGCTTCCTTTTTAAAATTTTGTTCTATCCCCCATTTTCAATTTTACACCAACTCAATCGAAATTAGTAATAATAATAGTACTTAATTTTAATTATTAATTTTTCATTTTTTCTTTGTCTAAATTTCCCATTCTTACTCTCTGGGCTATGAGGGAGTTTCCTATTGATTAGATTCCAATAATTTGATATATTCCTTATATACTAAATCCTCATTTTTACATCATTCTAATTTAATGACAAATTTTAAATAAAATAATATTATTATATTACAATTTCATATGAATATCTTCATTTTATAATAAATGAAAAGTTGAATCATATAATATAATAATACTCAACTTGATTATGAAAATGTCAAAAATAATTCAAAGTGAGTTTCAAATGATTTTCTAATAGTAACTCTTTATCGTTCACATTTAGACAACTTTTTCTTCATATATAATTCATTTCTTGTAGAAAATGGGTGATCAATTCTCATTGCTGCACAGATATGTCTTTAGCAGCTCTAATTTCCAGCTTACCATAGTTCAAACTACTGAGCTTACTGAATATGAAGATTCAATTAATTTCCGAAGGAAGTTCTCTATTTGAATATATATCTCTTAGCTATGGAAGCCAATTCCTACTGGTTGAAACATTAGAAAGCTATTCTAAATGATCAAAATCGCATTTTATCTCCTCCTTGATTCTCTACATAATACTAATCATATAATGAGGTTAAAGTTGAAGTGAAATTAATACCATTTAATTCCTTTAAATTAACTCTTAAAATTAAAATTATAATGGATAAGCTAGAAGCTTTTATTCAGGAGAAGAAAGTACCTGAAAATATATATGCATAAAGCTTCATCGGCTGTAATTCTTTTCTAAATATAAATTCAACTAAGAGAATAATAAAAAGTTATTAAAAATGAAATAATTACAAGTGAATTGATTTTTCCAATTTTAATAGCTTTTTAGATCTTTATCTTATCTTTTTTTTATTTATAAATAATATCTGGAAAAATACAATTATATTAAATTTCTATTTATTATTCAACTGTCTAGGTTTTATGGTCTCTTGAGTTTTCATCTTTTTTATTGAGAATGAATATATAAAATTCAGACATATTTAATTTTAGTATTTGCTTCTCATTAATAATAAGGCCTTTCATTTTTATTATTAACTTAATGACTAGGAATCTTTTTCTTATAATAAATATAAGATATATTTTTATAACATTTAAATTAGTTAGTCCTAATAAGTCTCTTGATTTTTTATTAAACAATCAATAATGATATTGTTGTTATCTGAGATTATGTAAAGGATTAGGCAAATAAATCAAAGACTAAATTTTAGAGATAGTTAATCAAGTTGATGGACTCATATATGTATGCTGAGAAAGTCTCTTGCACTAATCAATATATAATATACAACTTAACTATAGATTTAGAATTTTATAGTAGTGCACTTCCATTTAACTAAAATATTTTTCCGTTTTCTAAACAATAAAATATTTTATTTTATAAATATCAGCCTGCAAGAAACATTTATCGAATAATGAATATACTTAAAGAAGCTTATGTTTCTTGTTTTTGATCAAAATTATTTTTTTGTATTTATCAATAAAAATAACAAATGAAAAAATAATTCGGAAATCAAAAACTAATGGGATTCAATTCTACAATTTTTGGATATATAGACTTAAATGTTAGTGTAGATAAATAAATTTCAAATAAATTCATTTTTTGTCTTTTTGTGATAGAATAGTCGCAGTAACTGAGTCATACCCACCATGAATTTTTCTTATTGAAACTTAATAATGACTTAAGATATTCTATTGAATTTCTGGAAAGAATTAATAAAATATTAGGTTTGATTAATTGCGTGCAGTAGTTTTACTATAAATTAGAGAATAATTTGAGTCACTAATTAATTTTAAATATTTTTATTTTAGCATATATTAAATCATATTTTTTATTCTTTTATTATTGCTTAATTTAGAATCTTTTATAGATATAAACTATTTCAGTTCTCAAATTCTTCAAATTTTCAAATTTTTAAAACTATTTTTTATAGTCTCTTATAGACACCAGGGTAGGCAATTAACCATTCTAATTCTTTATCTAAAAGCAATCATTAAACTAGCCAGACCTCGATGTCTCATAAAAATTAAGTTTTGATACCTCAATAATTAGATATAAATATCTTTTAAAATTGAATATACAAATTATTTCCTATTAAATTTGCAAGTTTGATGATTATAATATTAGAATGGCATAAACTAAATAAAATAATAATGCTATATTTTAGGTTTATAAAGAATTCACTTAGATAAAATAAGAAATTGAGGGTAAAATAAACTCTTTTGAAAGATGATATGCACAATATGCAATGCCTTTTGTTTACATTTCTAAGGAAAAAAATCTAAAAATGATTCATTTTTTATTTTTATATATAATAATTATAAGCATCATTAAATAGTTGTATAATTCAAATTTATTGGAATAAATATAATTCAATCTGGTTGGAATATTTTATTAAAATTATTATTAATTATCTACTTGAGATAGTTTATTATATTGTTAATTAATCCAATATGTTTGCTTCAATAGTTTTTATACAATTATTATGAAAAGTATTCATATAATAATTTTTCTCAACTAAAATCAAATATTTTATAATTCATAATTTTCTAATATCTAAGAATAATTTAATTATGGGTTCAGAATAAAAATGCAGCATGGTTCCTAAGGAATTAAATAAAATCAAATTCAAAATATCAATAATCTTGAAGGAAGAAATTTTAGTTGATGTTAAGCTGCTGTTTTTTATTATCAGTAATTTAAAATTTTTAATTCAACCTAATCTAAATCTGTTTATTTAAGCCTTATTTATTGCATCTTGCCAATTTTAAATGATACTAATATATTACAAAAGAAGACCTTTTTCTGTTTATTTATTTCCAAAAGGGTCCAAAATTACATTTAGAAAAGTAGGAACTTAGAATTTTAAAACTTATTTTGAATATTGGTCACTTTGTTGAACAGGTTTTTCTGTGTATTCTAAATTTTAACTATTAATAATATTTACTTTTCAATTAAAATCAAATATCTATATTTTATTATTTGTTAATATATATATTAGCAATGAAATTTTAGACTTTATAATGTTTATAAAACGATAATTATTATCTCAATTTGATAATCATATGATATAATCAGATATTAATTGTGATGTTCACTTATAGACAATTCCTTGTAATATAGATATCATTTTAATATGATTCTAACATATATTGAATCACATCAAATTGTTCAATCTAATAAATAAAGGGGTGTTGACTATTAAAATCCTAATCATCTTTTGATTATTACTCATAATCTAATCAATCATATCAATCACTTGATTTTTCTTAAATTAATTAATGAGCTTATCTTGATAAGTAAGAGATTATTTAAAATACAAATAAACATCTTAATTTTTCACTCTCTAGAGGTATATAATTCTGTCTTTTACCAATTTATATTATTCTTATTAAGTAAAAATATATGTAAATACTTTCACTTCCAACAGTATATGCTATGTTAATAATTTATAGGATTTATAACTAAACACTTTAAAAAGAAAATTAAATAAAAGATTAGAGCTATCGATAGAAAATGATATAATTCTAGTTTGTGCTGGATTCTTAGATAAATAATTGATGATGGAACCTTGATACACTTTGTAAAAGAGTTAGCTAATCATTTTATTATTATCTAAAAGAATTACATTAAGAAGTTTACTATTCGTAACTGAAATATTAACAATATAAATTAACTTAATTAAACTTTTTGATATTTTATCTATGTTAACGTAGTATATCTTAATCTTATTATCCCAAAGCATTTTCCATCCATTAGGAATTACTATGATTGATACTATTCCCATAAAATTCCAGGAAAAATGATGCAATACTACTTAAACTGGATGAATTTTATTTAGCTAATATTTACTTTTCAATTAATTTTGGATTTAACTGATCAAAGTGGAGAAATGATAAATGTAATTCTTGCATTTCGCATTTTATTCTTTATAATAATAATAAAAATAATAATAATAATAATATCAATATCATTATCAATATGAATAATAATAAGTAAATTTATTTTATACACTCTGACAGCATTATTGTAATACATGCCTAATATATTTGATATTATTTTAACTATAAAAATGGTTTGTTTAATTAAATTATTTATACAAATCCCAAATGGTTTAATTAATGTTCTCATACTTCTAAGATTATTGGTGTGATGTTTATAAATTATTTATTATAAAGACTTAATTATTTTATCATTTTTTATATGAAAAATAATTGTGGGAGTTACAAAACTTGTTTGTTAATTTTGTGTGTATTTAAGGAAATAAAAATGATTTAGCAGCTTAATATTAAAAAGAAATTGAATATGATTTTTTGTCTTTTGTCATAAGTATTTGGAGTTAAAGTATGAAATCATTAAAAACCTAGCATACTAATATAGAGTTATTAATTAACAGAAGTATTCTTGAATTAAAATTTGAAAAAACTTAATATCAAATGAAGTCAACACCAACCCTATCCCTTCGAGGAGGAGGATGTATAGGATCAAAAGCAAAGACAACAATTCAAATGTAAAACAAAATTCCTATGAATTACCTATTAAAAATGAAAATAAATAGTCAATTGCTTGTTGATAAATGTGATTAACTCTTAGACAATTTTTCTAGGAATGAAATAATGATGTCATTATAATGGTTTTCTGATAATCGATATTGGATTTGTGAAATTTGTAAAAATGACAATTTGATTTTAATGCTATATGATTTAGCATTAAATTAATTTAGACAGCTTATTTCAGTGATATCAGTTTATTTAAGAGGATCAGGTTGTCTTTGTTATTATGTTTTGGAAGTTTGTAATGATTTATTATTGATAATTTATACATATTAGCTAAATGATGAAAAGCGCTTTCTTTTGTTTGAAGTACATGGCGAATTATTATCAATGATCGATATTATCAAGCAAGATCTTGAAGTTCATAAAAATTTTTGGACAAATGGACTAGAGTTTTAGATAACTCTAATAAAAACAGTGTTAATAAATAGTAGGAAAAATTCTAAGGAACAATAGGATAAATTAATATCAATTGCATCCTCTGCATTCTCTTCTTTATTATCACTTTCAATAAGTGAAGATTTTACAAGTGCTTTATTTGATTTTGCAAAATATTTGCTGATTGAAAAATACAATAAATTTTCGTATCCTATTCAAACATATCAAATATATTACTTCTTCTTTCTGTTAAAGTGGAATATCATAAAAAATATTCAAGAAAAGAATGTAGTAAATAAATAAATTGCAAATCTTTAGTTAGGATATGAATAATATGTGTAGAATTCAGATAATTGGATAGTACACTTTTGTTGGATAAATGCTATGTCAGATTTGATTTCATATAGGTAAATTATATCAAAAGCCATCTTCTTAAAAAATTAAGATGATATGAAACAAAAATAGTTATGGAATTAATTAATATAACAAAATATTATTAAAGTATTACCTTATGATAAATTACTTGGGAAAGTAAATAATAGTTGTTCCTTTAAGCCTATTGATTATGAAACAGAAAAAATTTTAAATGGATTAGGTTTGAAAAAGATGAAATTTTTTTAAACTGTTATTTTAAACCAAAAATTTGCTAATAAATAAAATTTCTTTCAATTCTATGTAGATTTTACATTTTAAAAACTAAAAAAACCAGAAGAAAAAAACAATCTATCAACAAGATTTGAATTATTTGGTGTTGATAAATAAATGAAGAAACTTTAACGTTTATATCAATTATTAAAAGAGATGAAAGAAAAGGTCTCAGAATATATATTGAAAGTTAAGTTGAATCATTCCAATTACCTCCCTAAGATGTTGAGACAAAAAATAACTCAAATAAGTATGATCCATTTTTAGATAGAGAAGAAGGAGTTCAATAATTAGACATTAGTCTTTTCAAACTTTCATATTTGCTGAATGAAGTTGATTTTACTATGATTATAGAGAAAAAGAGAATAGAAATCTGCTAAGAATAAGTTAAATTGCATGAAAACTAAAATCAAAAAGAAAAACAAAATTAGAATAAAAAAGATTAAAATAAATTCGGAGGTTAATAAAAATAGCTTGAAAATATTTATAATGAGTGGATCAAATTAGATTTTCCAAATAAATACATTTAAATTTTTGATCTCATTACAAAACTAAGAGGATTTCACTTCAATTAATCTAAAATTGAAAAAAACAGAATCCAAATAATAAAAAAACCAAATTCAAATTCAAGAGAATGATTTAATTTTATTTATTCAGGATGCTTAGATTTAAATAGAAAAATTTTTATAAGAACTTAATATTTCATAATAATAATTATAGAATTTTTGGAGGCTTAACAATAAGCTAACAATTATAAAAGATAATGAATTATTAGATTAAAAAAGGAATGAATTCTTCTTTGATATCATTGAATGGAATAAATTATCATTTCCTAATGATGAATACCATAAAGAATTTAAGGAATTACTTACTCAATAGAAATTTCAAACTCTTGAAGATATATAAAAATTTGACCTGAAAATATAAAACTATATAAAAATGATGAAAATCTTAAAAGGTTAGAATATGCAGAAAGCTTATATTTTTTCAAAATTAGAGTTCAATATCAAATTTACTTTAGAAATTAAAAATAGTTAAGAGCATATATAATTAGACAATAATCAAAAATAAGAAATATCAATAAATGAATTGATTTTGGAACAAAAAAAAGATATTGAAGCATTTCTGTAAAATGATATAAAAGATAAAAGTGGTATTCAGAAAATACTTGAATAAATTTTAACCTTAAGAAATAAAATTATAGTTAATTTTGCTTCTTAATAGAATAGCTTAGAATGTTCAGCTTTAATTCTATAAAATAAACTTTATAATTTATTTTATCAAATAAGTTTTTCTTCTTAGTAAGATATTGAATAATGCAAAAAGGAAATATTGGAGTAATATTAAATATTAAATACTATTGAATATTAGAACCCAAAAGATCAAACTTAGACATAAAATGATATTAAATATAAAAACACATAAGATCAAATTTAGAATGAAGGTAATGAGTAGAATGAGTATTTAAAACTGATTTCCAAAAAAATAAGCGAATTGAATAACTAAATAATAATTATTAACAAAATTATTGTTAATATGGAAGAATTATCTTAGTATGTTCATTAAAATTGTATGGGTTTTCAGTATTTAACTGAAGATCATTTTCAAAAACATTTCTTAGATCATCTTAAATTAATAATTAAAGAACTTATAAATCATTCAGAATTAGATAAATTATTAAATGAATTGATTAACGATATTTCAGCTAAATAATAAAATCAAGGAAATTAATTAATAAATAAATAAATCTTTACTTTAAAAGATTTTGCTACTATTTTTTGTTAGAATTAGACAATTTCAGATAAAGCAGTTTAGATAGATAAAGACTACTAAGAATTATTGGATAATTTAGAATAAGAAATGATAATGGAACGAAAGATCTATGATTTAAATAAAGATTATATAGTTCGTTAATGTTTCCTCTTTCATTTAATAAAAATTTAATCTTAAGTCCCTGAAACAGAGTTATTGCTGCTTTGTCAAGAATATTTAAGACGGATATGGATGATAGAAAAGGATGAAAGTGTTAGAGCTTTTCTAAAAAATAAAGAAATAATAGAAATATAAAAGTAACTATTCTCTCATAATCTTAAAACTTTTTCTGCAAATATGAAAGAAGAGATGAATTAAAAATTGAAGGAAATGGATGATATTGAATAAGTAATTCGCTTTGAAGGCAATCCATCTAAGAGAGATGAATTGTCAAAATAATTATAGAACAAATATGAGGAATTTGAAGAATTTCTAGATAATATTTCTGAAATGTCTTAGTAATTGGATATTTCTTTAATCTTTTTATAAGAACTTTAAAAAAAAATAAAATAAATAAAAAAAAATATAGATGATCTTTAAGAATCAATAAATGAGATTGGAAATGATGTGAGAAAATTAAGAGGAAAAAAATATGAAGAGTTGTTTAAGACTATCTTTTCGAACTTGATTCTGTATACATCCCATTAAAAACATAGGAGATCAATCCTGTTACAGGATAAGCCTAAAGCACTCTATCAGGTTAACCATTTTCTGAGTTGCTTATTGAAAACATTAAATAAAACAAAATAGAAGGGAGGGAAGGAGAAGTTAATTAATTTATCTATGATGAATAATTAAAAGATGTTATGTTGATAAAAGGCCAAGCTGGTTCGGGTAAAAGTCGAGCAGCTAGAAAGATTGAAGTGTATCTATGGAAACAAAAATAAATCGAAGAGGATTGGATACCAATTTATATATCATTACCATAATTAAAAAACCCAAAGTTTGCTCTATTAGATCAAGCACTTGAATCTGAAAATTATGGTTTTGATAAGTTGTAATTGAAAGAGTTTAAAGAAGCAATTTAGAATAATAAGATTAGAGTAGTGATGATTCTTGATAGTTATGATGAAATGAAGTAAGATTGTATATAATCCAATTTAATATTAACAAATAGATTAATATAAGATTTTACTTAAATGGATTAAGAAATAAAGAAAATAAAATTTATAATAACAACTCGTAAAGAAATATTGACAAGTTTAGGATATTAAACATGGTTTTATGGTGAAAGTCTTTTTACATTAAAAGAAATCGAAATCATGAGTTTTGATGAAAAACAAAATGAGAGTTATCTCAAACACTATGTTAAATTAAGTATTAAAAGACGAATTAAATCATCATATGATTTTGTTAAGTAAATTAAAAAATAGAGTTTAGATATTAATGAATTTTTAGAGATTTGGAAGAATATTTTAGATTAAGTTGCTGATGAAGATGAAATTAATGAGAATTCTAATATGTTACTAACGAATTACCAAATTGAGAATATTGTGGAAATATTAAAAAAATAACCTGCATTCCAATATGTTTAAGATGATTAGTTAATGATCTTAAAAAAAGAACTTAAGGATTTATGGAGTGCAGGGTTGTTTAATAAAACTATTCAAAATCTATCCATTTAACATTTCTTATAGACTCCATTTATGCTTGAAATAGTAGTTTAAACTCTTCCTAGTCTTTAATAAAAATATAAAGAAACTCATGAAATTAAGGAAATGTTCCAGAAAAACTATCTATTACTAAAAAGTAAGGAAAATAAATCAAAAAAGTTATTATCAAAATTTATATATAAAGAGTAACAAAAAGAACAAGTAATTACAAAGGAAAATAAATTTAATTAAAGTGAAACTGAGGAAGAATAAGAGGATCAATAAAATTTAAAAAGTCTATAAATCATTGTTGATTAATTAGAAAGTTAACGATTTTTTGAAAATTATTCAATAACTGATATATCTTAGATAAAAAATTAAATAATAAATATAAGTGACGATGATTTAAAAATTTTGATCGCTGCTTTGAAAATGAAGGTATTTACAATTTATGAATTTTATTAACACTTTATAGAATTTTATCATGAATAATAAATATAGAAACTTAGATAATTGGGAAAAGTTGATAATGTAGATAGTTTTACTATAGATTTATTATAATTTTCAGAGTCATTAGCTATAGAAATGACAATGAATTAAACAACATAAGTCAATTATGAGCAAAAAGGTAGGTTAAAATTAAAAAATCATTATTTTAACTAAAATAATGAAGATGATTGGAAAATGCATTATTTTGATGATTTGGAAGATGAATATAGAAAACTTGTAAGAAGTTCAGCATTAATTAATGTGAAAGGGAAAAGCTATACATTTAATCATAAATCTTTATAAGAATTTTATGTAGCAAAACATATAAATAATTTAATTGATAAACTTGAATTCATTGACAATAATAAACTTACTGAAAAAAGTGTAAACTATTTGGAAATATCAGTATTTAATAAGAAAGAATTTAATATCTCTTAAGAAAATTACCTTGGGTCTTTGAGCATATTAAAAGAAAAACTAAAACTTAAGAATGAAAGTAATCTTAAATTAATTTCTATTGCTAAATTATCTGCAAAGGAAATATTTAAAGTAGCTTCTTCAAATAGTTTTTGCTTATTAAGTTTTTTATAAGTGTATATAGGAGAGCAAGATTTTTCAGGAATACAGATAGAAAAGACAACTCTTAAAGGATTATCTTTCTATAAAAGCATATTATAATAATCAATTGTTATTGAAGTAATTATTGATTCTTGCCTATTTGATCAAGCTAATTTGGAGAAGGCTAAATGGACAAATATGATATGTTCTGAGAAACCATTATTAGAAGGACATAAAGGTGGTGTTGTTGTAATATAATATTCAAATGATGGTAAATTGATAGCAAGTGGAGATTCAGAAAAAGTTGTAAAATTTTGGGATATTATAACATTTTAACAAGAAGGAGAGATTAATGATATTTCTGGTATACCCTAATTTTTAGTATTCTCAGCTGATGATTAACTTTTATTTGTAGGTGATGATACAAATATAATTGAGTCATGGTAGATAAGTAATCTAAAAGAGATCATAAAATCAAAATTTTTAATTAATAAATAAGAATAAATCATATTAATGCAATTGTCATCAAATGAAAAAGAATTATTAGTTGTTGATAGAAAGGGATTAATATAATTTTGGGATGTCAATTTAATCAAAACAAATCTCAATGAAAAAGATGGATTCATTCTTAAGAACTCTGACAGTTAAATAAAATTCATTTCATTTTTTAAGAATGGTGAAATGTTGGCTTCTGCAAGTGAAGACTAAAAAGTTACACTTTGGGATGTCATAGAATAAAAAGTTTTAGCTACAATTGAAATAGATTTTCCAATTACTTTTTTAGCCATCAATTAAACATCTGAATTTCTTGTTTGTGTTTCTCATACATCAAAGTCTAAAAAATTCTCTGTTTGGAATATTGAAAACATTAATTAACCTTATTTACTACGTACTTCTTCTAAATATCGAATTAATAATATATAATTCACTACAGATAATTAGTAATCAATAGAAAATCTAGGGGATACAATTTAAATTTAAAAGATTAGCAACATATGCATATAAGAAGAATATTTATAAATAATTAATTGTACTTGCATAGATTTCTCACCAGATGAAATTTTAATAGCTACAAGTCATTGGTATGAAATATAACTTTGGTCATTAGAAACAAAAACTCCAATGAATGAATTCTAAAATTATTACACAGTTGATACGCTTTTATTCTTTGAAAAAGGAAAGAAGCTATTATGTGGAAATTATTTAAATGGTATTACACTTTGGTCAGTGGAAAAATGTCAATTTATTTATATCTTTTCAATTTCCTACACTCGAAATATAAGAATATCCAACATTCAAAATATAACAATATCCTCTAACTCTGATAGAATGGCTATTAAAAATGGAAAATCTAACGAAATAGTAATAATAAGTTTAGATCAACTCAAATTTAACTCCTTTGCTTATTATCTAAATGAGTATGGCATCTCTATTTCATAAAATGATTAATTATTTGTGTTTAAAAAAATAAATGGAGCAACGTATGTTAGAAACTTAGAAAATAATCAGTAAATTGAATTCGAGAATGGTAAGAATAATTTTGAATAATGTGTTTTTTCTCATTAATCATCTCTTTTCGCAAGTTTTAATAAGGATTAAAAATTACAAATTTGGACCTATGAAGGGGGGAAATTTTCTCTAAAATATGAAAAACCATTTGATTACAAAATTTCTTGTATGATATTTTCTTTTGATGATAAATATTTGGCTATGACATCTGAGAAGAATGTATTAATAAAAATATGGGATTTTTCTGAAAATTAAATTTATAATTTAGAAGAATCGATTAATTAAAAAAAGAATGATTTATTTCCAGATATCTGCTTTTCTTGTGATAGTTTATATGTTTCATTCTTTAATAATGATGAAATAACAATATGGAAGTTCATTTCTGACTAAACTGCTACTATTTTTAAAGATGATAATTCGACTGTTAGAAGTTTTGCATCATCTCCAAAATAAAATATATTTGCTACATCTAGTAATGAATTTATCAAATTTTGGAATTTTGAGACATAATAATTATTGCATTCATTTTTCACAGGGTAATAGACTAATTGCTTATGTTTCACATATAATGGAAATTATTTAATTAGTGCAGGAAGCATTGTGAAACTATGGGACATATCAAATTTTCCCTAAATCAAATTATGTGCTGCCACATAATCTAGATGCATCCTTGATGTAACAAGAATCTGTTGCTTACATCAAACATAAGGTATTTTACTTAGTTGTGCATTAAATAGTGAAGTGATTTAATTTGACTAGTTTAAATTTTTAGGAGTATTAGAGGGTTCGGGTTAATCATGGATTCAATGCTAATTTTCAGCTGATAGTCGGGTTTTAGTTGGTGGAATAGGTAAAAAAGTTGTAACATGGAAAAATGATAAACACTATGAAATTGAATCCAGTTTTGAATTTCCTGATATTGTTTAGTCAAAAAAAGAATCATCTTATTTTTTACTTTCGTTACATATCATTATTAATTCAACTAGATTATTTTTAACAAATTAAAATTTTATTTGTTTGCATAACAATTGTTAATACTAAGAATTTTCATCTGATAATAAATTTTCTTTATCACCTTTAAAAAACACAATATCATTGAGTCAATTGAGTATTGTTAAGATTAAGAAAGACTTGTTGTAGCTATTTCATCTGGAATATATATTTTGAATGTCAAATCAAGCAATTTATTTGAAATAATTCCAAATTTGAAATCAGCATACAATGCCAAAATGTTTTAAAATGATAAATATCTTTTTACAACATAATATGAATCTGTTAAAATTTGGAGAAAAGAAGAAGATAATCAATTCACTTTAATTGACTATTACAATATTAATAATTGGGCAAACAATGTTTTTTTTTCATAGGATGGAAAATATATAGCAAAACGAGACCATTCTTATGACTCATTTATAGTTTATCCTATAGATTTGATTAGTAAAAAAAGATTTATCTTTACTAAAGATTAAAGTACAATAAGGATATCAAATAACTCACAATATTTATTATAAGGGAATTATTAACTTTCTAAATTATCTAATTATGAATCAGGTTTTACTATTGAAGAATTCAGTGATTTAGGATATTTTGAGTTTTGCCCAGATAATGAAAATATAGTCTTCCAAAATGACGAAAATTTTACATTATACAACATCAAATCAAAACAAATTATTTATTAACTTAAAAAAGATAAATATTTATAATAAAAAGATTTGTCTTAATTTTCGGTTTCATTTATAAATTATGACAAGATGTTAGTATTAGCATCTGAATAGATAATTCTTCTAAATATAGCAGATATTAATAAAACTGAATTAATTGGAGTAATACAAGATAAAATAACTTCTGTTCATCCTAAAACATCATCTAAATATCTTGCTTCAAAAGTGGGTGAGAATTCTATTTAAATAACTGATATGATTAAAAGAAAATTTATTAAATCAATAAAAATAAATATCCCTTGTGATTCTAATTTGAAAGATTTAGTTATTTTATAAAATGATTCAAAAGTAGCTTATATATTAGATAAATAATTTATAGTAAAGAATTTGATTGATGATAAAATAGAAAATAATTATTGTGACACTAAAGATTGTGATAAAATAGCAATTTCAAAAGATAGAAAAAATTTAATATTTTCTTCGGGTAACCAAATCTATTATTATGAAAAAATAAATCATTAAGAGTTCAATAAATTGGAAGAGAGTATTTAATTCTTAAATTTTTCATTCTCTTCAGATTCAAAATATTTAGCAGGATTTGGAACTAATAAAAAAATATATTTTTGGAACTTTAAGGCAAGAAAAGTGATGGCTAAATTCTAAGGACATTCAGAAAAAGTTAATGTAGTTTAAATTTCTTAAGATAATTCAACATTAGCATCTTGTGATGATAAATCGGTAAGATTATGGAATTTAAATGCTAACTTTAACAGGATAGCTTAGGATGGACATGAGAATAATATTAGCAATATAATATTTTCAGCAGATAGTTTGGTATTATATTCTGGAGGAGCTTTAGATTAAACTATCATACTATGGGATATATAAAATAAGGCCCGAATAATATCAAAGACTTTTGATTAACCAATAACCTCTTTTTCAATTACACATAATTAAGAGTGTCTAATTATAACACAAGGAGGAATAATTTAATTTTGGAATATTTAATTTAATTAAGTATTTTAGAAATCTAAATTTGAGATCAAACCTGGAGGATGCTACTCTAATAATTTAAAAATAAAAGGAAAAATTCAACAAATTTAATTTTTATCAAATGATAAATAATTTATTACTTTATCCTAGTTTACAAATAAATAGTAAACTAATTAAGAATAATATTTTTCTTTAGCAGAGATCTGGGAGAGATAGGATTAAATTGATGAGCAAGCCATTTTATATGAATATGATGAAATTGAAATAGGGCTTTACTAAATCTCATAAGATTTTAAATATATATGCTCTTTAGACTCTCAAAATGAATTAACTTTAGGTGAGTTATTTTTAGAATCTAAACCAAATTTGAAAAAGTTGAAATAGTATAACAATGATAAAATCATTAATCTTCTCTTTTCAAATGATTCTAAAATATTATCATCTGTTGATAGTTAAATTGTAGTATTTAGAATTTTAGACTGTGATAAATTACTTTGTAGTCTTAATATCAACATTCAACCGGATAATTTTTTTCAATATTTTACAGATGATGACAAATTCTATTATACATAATTTTAGAATTAAATTTATTTGTGGGATGTTAATCATTTAGTAAAAGATCAAAATTTTTAAATTTCTCAATTAGAATTGGATTTAAAAAATGTTGATATTCATTATTTTGCAATATCTCATCATCTAAAGCATTTAGTAATTGGACTTAATGATAGTCAAAATAATAATATTTTAAGGGTAGTGGAATTAAATTCAATGAAAATATTATAAAATATTCATTAAAATAGTAAAATATAACTATTACTATTTTCTGATGATGATATGCTTTTGGCAGTAGCTAATGAATTAAATGAAATATTAATTTATGAAATAGATCAATTTTCAATAAAGCATTCTTTTCAATGCCATTAAGCTTAAATACTTAAGATATAGTTCTTCTTTTATTAAGAACCGTATGAGATAGAAAATAATAATGAACCTTAATAAATTGATAATTTAGATGAAGAAATTAATTAAACTAAAACCATTGAATAATAAATTCTTGATGGTCAGCCTAATTAAATTTAAAACATTAAAGAAAAGAAAAAGAATATAATTTATAAATCAATTTTAAGTTTAATATCTTTTGATAAAGATTATTCCATTGTCATAAATTATTTGGATAATATAAATACTCAAAATTAGGCATTATAGTTACCTAACAGATCTGACAGTGAAATTTAATAAGTTGTATTTACTAAAGATATACAGACACTTGCTGTAATTACATATCATAAAAATAAGAATTTCTAGTGCGTTATTTATAATTGGATTTAAAATAAGTATAATTAAAAAGAAAAAATTAGTGATTGTTAGATTGGTGATTTTTGTTTTGATCAGAATTATTTTGTTTATTGTAATTAGAGAGCAGAATTATACTTATTAAATTTATAAAAGAGTCAAGAGATTAAAATTAATATGAATATTACTTACTCAAATGAGCCATTTAATTTTCTTAAAATAAGTTCAAAATCAATTGTATTTGCAGGAAATAATTAATATATGTTTTGTTGGAAATGCTGCAAAGAAGAATATAATGTACAATTAATATTGTTAAAGAAAATAGAATATAATAATTTTAATTACTCATCAATGTTTTTGAGATTGGATTTTCAGATATTTTGTTTAAATAATAATAAAATTATAAACTTAGATTTTTTAAATACAGTAGAAAAACTAAAATCATGTCTTATTTATAACTCTGGGCATTGGGATAAATTTTTATTTACAGACTGTAGTTTTTCATCGGATCTTTCATTATGTGTAAGTGTAGGAAATAATGCTGTTACAAGGGTATAGGATAAACTTTTAATCTTATGGAATGTTAGAACCTTAAAACATTAAACCTTTTGGCACACAAAAACTGAATATAGACAAGAATTTAAAGAGAATGGAAAGAAATAGTTATCAGTTGTTACTGAAATATTTACTGCTGTTGCGGTGTTTATTCCTCATAAAAAAATTATTATTTCAAATAACGAAGGCAATATTTAATTTAGGGATTGCCAAGATTTTGATTCTATAAAAATAATAGAAACTCTCAAAAATGAAAATAAAATTGAAAATTTGTTAGTCTCCAAAGATGGAAAATTGTTAATATCAATTTGTAAAGTTGGTATTTTCAAGCTTTGGAACATCAGCAAAATAAATTAAATTACTCTATAACGAGTCATTTATTATGAAAAAGAGTTAGTTCATTATAGATTTACAAAAGATATGTGTTGTTATAGTCTTTATCAAAGAAAGGGAGAGAAAAAATACTATTTGGAATAACTCAATCTCACGAAATATCCAGTTATCTACATCTTTTAATCATTGTAGTTTTTCATTGCATTTACAGTTATGTAATAAGAAACTATTATCGCATTTGGAGGAGAATAATTGGTCCTTTGGAATTATAAGAGTAACCAAAATAAAATTATAATTGAAAATAATAATGAATTATTTTCTTAAATAGTTTTTGGAAATAATATTAATAATCTAGCGGCTGCAAAAGGTTGTATCATTTATTTAATTAAAGAAGTAACTGAAGCTTTGAACTATACTTCAATTTCAGAATTAAAAGGACATTAAAGTGAAATAGTATGTTTATCTATCCTGCATGATAATTAAATGATTGTATCTGGTTCATAAGATAAAACTATTAGATTTTGGAGCATTTAATAATTAGCCACTGTTTATATCCTGAAGGGCTTTATTGAAATTATTTCAAAGATAACCTTATCCCCTAATTGTAAAGATATGGCTGTGGCTCTTGAAGATGGATCTATCAGACTCTTTGAACTTAAGTTTCCGGAGAATATCCATGAGGTTAAATTAGATGAAATCAATAATTAAAGTGATTATGTCCATTGTTACAAGGTCTTTGGAAGATAATGTTTGATATCTGCAAAAAATTGTATTTTATCAGATACAGTAATAGAACAAGGTGGTAAGTCATTAGAAGCTTTATTTCTTTAGAAAGCAGCCAAGAAAGAAGACATGAAAGTATCTATTATTAATAATAAATGAATCTTATTCATATAGATAATTAAATAAGAATTACATCTATTTATAATTATATAAATAAAATTCTATGGTTATTTATGTATTTTAAATATTTATTTTTTTCATTTCTACTATGGAGTAACTTTGGTATTAATACAGATTATGAGTGTATTTCAAATAGACATTGTTCAAATGAGATGCAGCACATCCAAGTACTATGAAATTGTGATTATAGTTTCTCAATCAATTGAATAAGTATTAAGTCTCTTCAAAACTCCAATCATTATCAATACTTATTTCCTCTTTTTTTTAATTCAAGATATTCTGGATCTTAATTGACTTTCTCTCCTATAAAAATTAATCCTTTCTCTTGTTCTGTGACTCAGGCCTTTACTTTTTCTATGTTCTGATTAGTTAGAATTATTTACTCCTAAACCCATTTCTAATGATTTAGCGGTTTAGTTTATGAGAAAAGAGCAAATGGATAAAGATTACCTGTTAAATTGAGTACTTCTCTATCAGCATATGAATTACGCTTTCTTAATTCTTTTTTATTCATAATTATTAATATTTGTCAATATTTTACATCCTGATCATTTATGAGTATTTTTATTCTAAAATGCTGGAAATACAGGATCGATTATATTTTAGAATCTCTCTCCGATTGAACATTGGATGCATTTTCTAAGTTATCGTCATTAACTTATTGTCAATATCAATTAAGACCTTTATAATCAACGAGTCTCTTTAATAACCATAATTCAAGGTAGTTCCAACAATCTTTCTTTATTTATTAGCTACTCAAACAATCAAGCTGGCTCTCAAATCTTCAATAATTCCATTAATTAGAAATTTGATTTCCCAAGACCTTACTCCAAAATAAAATGGATTTATGCCTAATATTAATCCAGGTTTCTCAAATAAAGCCTAGTTATCATTATTTATTATTTTCTTAGAAATTAATAGACTATCCTCAATAGATTATGATTAAGATGTAGTTATCAAGATTTCACTGAATTCACTTTTCTTATTTTCAAATGTACTTTAAATTCTAAATTTATAATTGGTTTTAACTTATCATTCAGTAATTGTAAATTATGGTTCAATACCGATATAAATTTATTTAAATTATTCAACTCCTTTAATTTTCATCCTAAATACCATTTCCAAAAAATAGTCAACCTTTTCTTAAGAATGAGTCCATTCTTATTAAATATAATTAAATTAACACAATGATTTACTAAATTTTCTCTTTTCAAAATTTTCACAAATCTCAAAAATTTTTTCTTAAGATACCAATTTTTTACAACTGGCACTACTTCTCACATTTGATTCAGTCAGAATTTAATGTAGACTAAGTGTGCTTTAGCCAGGGTTTTTTTAAGCAAAGAAAAAAATGGTTCATAAATATAATGTGTAGAAGCTGAATGTAAGTTAGGGGATAATTGGTTAAAAAGTAATGTTGATATTATTTTTGGATAAATGGATGAAGATACTAATATATATTGTATTAAAGTAGATTATTTTAGTTTATTCAAACTAAATTTTAGATATATTAAATGCAAAGAATAATGGTTTAATTACATTTGAAGATCTTGTATATTTCTAATAAGGATTAGCTATAAATAAATTTGAATATTATAAAATAATGAGTTTTATCGTTTATCCTCAGCTGAATTGAATTAAATTAAAGTTATTAATTTACAGAATGAAGGTGCTATCTTTTAAATTGATTATATAATATTTGGTCCTCACTATGGAGTACGGATGGAATTTAATTGTAAAAATTAATCATGTACTCGATAATCATAAAAGATAATCTATATCTTATAGGGTTAGAGAAAGTAAAAATGACAGTTTGGTTTTACCAAAGTTATAATGAAATAAAAATATGTTGAAATTGTGTATCAATTTAATAATAAGGGCCATAAATCTTATATTTAAGCTATATATAAAATTCCAGAAAAAGAATCTACAAATTTTGCCGTTCTATTTTATGCAGCAATACAAGATGTTTCATACGCTTATTATTTAATTTTTTAAACAGAATTGTACAATAAATATATTAACATTATAAAAATTGAGGTAATTATTTATAACATAATTTTAGTTATATTTAATAAGTAATTTATTAATATGGTTAATTAAGATTATACAAAGATAATTAATCTCCAAAATTGTTGATAGATTAGAATGTTAGTAAAGTCAAAGTTTCTGTCTAATTGAAAATGATTATATAGAAAGATATTTATATCTTGATATTACATCATCTGATGATCCAGGTTAATCTGATAATAATGGTCATACAATATTATGGGTTATTTTAGGAATAGTTGGAGGATTAATAGTTTTAGGAGTTAGATTTTGGTGTGGTAAAAAGAAATAGTCTAAGAATGAGCCTCTGTTATGAATTATTATTATTTCATGATTTAAAAAATGAAAATCATTATATCGATCAAATTAAATTAAATTAATAAATATAATGTAGATTTTATTCAATTTTTAAATTAATAAATTCTAATTATTGTATTATATTGATGTTATTCATATTACTTATTAAATCTAAATTAATTAATTTTTTAATATACAATATTGTAAATTTATAGTACTATATATTTATATAAAATATGTGAGAATGATGTTCCAAAATCTTAACAATTACTTTTTGCATGAATACTTTTTGTCTTTTTAATTTGATTTTATGAATTCCTATTATCATAAACCTACATGTCTTCTTTATTTTAGGGTTAGAAAGTAAATAAATAATCTGTTTAAAAACATAATCTGTAACCATGAACGCTTGTAATAATCTTTTATTTGATTATCCATCATGATGAACTCTTTTATAAAACTAAATTAGATTATCATATCCACATGAGATCAATTGATTCTCATTTTAACTCAAACTCAATGCAAATATTGTATTATTTAATTATTCATTTATTTGTATAAATTTAATAATTATTTTTTTAATTTTACTTATTTTTATTGTTATTGATTATTGATTGGCTAAAATAAAATTTTATATCATGCCTACCTGAGATTATTCGATTTGAGTTATTTAGCCATCGCAAACAATTAACATCAAAATTGTGTCCTAAAATACTCGATACATATTTTAGTTCTCCCTTGGTTATTTCATATAATTTTATAATTTGATTATAACCCATTACCAATTTTGTTTCTAAATCAATTTCATTCTCATTCTCGACATTCATGTTCATAAATACGAAAAATATTTATTTATATTTTCATGACATAATTGATATGTTCAAAGAAAATAAAATTACATATTTGATATAAACTACAATTATGAAAAAAATCAAATTAAATATTTTAAAATGACTTACCAAATTTCAAATATTTTATTCAATATTGAATATGTAATTCATTTGAAAATCTTAGTTTAATTGTTATTTATTTCTCCTTCACAATCATCATCAATTTTGACAATTATTTATAAAATTAATTAAACTTTAAAATGTCCCATTTTATGAATAACAACACCTATCAATATAAATATAAATCCATATTCAAAAAAAGTATTAATAGTGAGAATTTATTCAATTTCATAAAATGTAAGTTAAATAAGCTTTCTTTAAACCATTTAATTATGAATTAATAACCAAAGGTGATCCAATTAAACAAGACTATTGGTCTTATGCTTTAACTTTTAACATAGATTGCTTGATACTATTAGCTGGATGTTCATATTCAATTAGAGTATTTGAAGTTAAAAATGGAATAGAAGAGATTCAAATGAACATACTGGTTATGTTAATACATTAAATCTTTTTAAGAAGTCACCATTACAATTTATTTCAAGTGATACTGATTCTACCATAATATTATGAAAATAAATGAATAATAAAGAATGGAAAAGTATTAACATAATGATTAGTACTAATCCTTATCGTAACATTTCTAATAGTTATGATACAGTAGAATTATATTACATTAAATAAAATTAGATTAATATATATAAAAAATGCAAGTAATGTAAAATTTAAATAGATATTGATAAAGCAAATTTTAAAACAGAATTGAAAAGACTTAGAAATAAAGGTGATTAATAATAATAATAATAATAACAAACACCAAAGAAGGATGATAATAAAGATAATAAAATATAATCTTAATTACAAAAGTAAGAAAAATAATAGACTGATTAAGTTGGATTGGGTGTTTAAGCCACAGATTCAGAATTGGCATAGATCAATCATTATTATATTTATTTAGTTTATAAAAAATCAATGACTCCTGATTTTGCTATCTATGAGATTGATGTGGTTATGACTGATGAAGAATAAGGACCTGCTGAAAAAATGAATTAAGGATATCGAGCTATTGCAATACCCATAAAATAATATACAGGAGCCAGAGAAAAATATAAAACAGTACCTTATTTATTACTTAAACATACTATGAATGAATTATCTGATGAAAATGAAAAGATGACTCTTTTAGTTGGAATCAAACCATTATTTGGTAAGAATCCTCTCATTAGACCAGATTTTGGATATTTAAAAATAAATTTAGACTTAAGATAAACTACAAAAGAGTTTATTAGAAGTAGTATTGATTATATTTACATTACATAAAACACAGATAAATACTATTTTGTAAAAGTAAGAGAATTATAAATATTGATTCATTAATTAAATTAGAAAAGTCATATTAAAAAGTAATTTCATCAAGTATAAAGGATAATAGTAGATTAGAATTGGAAATATGTTATGATTTATAATCACTTAAAGAATTGATGGATATGATCAGCAGTTGTTTGGTTGGATCGTTGGGAATCCATTTCTTAAAAGAAAAAGGAGATTTTCTATCATAATTAGTATTTCTGTTATGGAGAAAATATTTCTGATCACCTCTTTATTAGATGAAATTTATCGATATTTTTAAGAGATGAATAGAAAGGATTATAGTCGTTATGATAAATTAATACAAACAGCAAGGGAGATTTTTTTAAATGGATTATTAGTTTGAATGAGATACTATTTAAAATATCTTATTTTGATATAATATTAATATGCAAAGTGAATTTATCACTTGCTAAGTTTTTAGAAGAGGAGAATAAAGCATGAGTTAAATATAAATATTTTAAAATGAAGATAGATTAGATTTTTGAAATAGTTTTAAATAACTGAATTTTTAATTCAATCACTTAATTAACTGAATACAAATAATAAATTACAAAAATTATTTAAAAACAAACTAAAATTAACTCATTCATTATTTATATGAATAATTAACATCATTGTTAATTTGAATTATTAGTTAAAATAATGATTATATAATAAGATCATAAGGGACGATTTATCATTATGGTGTAAAAGGGTGTGGAATAATATATTTAAATTAGGTTCATGGTTAATTATATATTAATTAATGATTGATAAGTTATAGGATAATTGTATAATAAAAGAAAATCAACAGATTTATTCCAGATATATAATATCATAAGATTTTATTTGAATCAACTACATCCTGTAGTTTTTTTTTAAAATATTTCTTATATAATTTACCCTTCCCTTTGAATGTTTCCAATTATTTTATATAGATAAGATTAGACATATGAGGATTATACAAAATGTACAACTAATGGGATTAATGTAGATGTTTTCTGATGGTATTAATCTTATAATATTTAAATAAATAAACTTTATTAATATTAGCAGAATATTTATTATGATTTCAATAACAAAGGAATTTAAAAAAATTATTGTTACTACAGAAATTAAAATGACTCATAGAAGAAAGCATGTAGAACATTTAATAAATCTACTGATATTCATTTTTTAATACAAGAAGGTATTTCAATTTTTGTTTATTCTATAAATATATATTTTTATATCATCAATTCTTTTGCTATTTTCATTTGATCTCATTAGATAAAGTGATTTAGAACATCATTTAATGACAATACACTTTGAGAATTAGAAAGATGCTATCAAATAATATAATTTTTATTAGATTGAAATTTCGATGCTTTACTCTTTAACAAGAAAATATTAATATAATTCCAAATTCATTGACAAAAATACATAATTGTAAATGAATCAGTTATTCCATCTTTTTTGTACTTCTAATAGTATATTTTAGGTAAATACATTTTGATCATTGTTATTAAGATTATATTCTGCTACCTAAAGAGCCTACGATAGTGCAAATAAAAGTTTCGACATTGAATTATGCTTATACCAAGTTTTAGATTAAGATGCCTTACTGCTTTAAAAGGAAGCATCTTTAATAAAATACCCTGAACAATCCTATAAATGATTTTTGCATAAAATATCGCCATATTCAGTTATGTATGAAGGATTTCCACATTTTTGATGATGCCAATTTCTTGGTTCATCGGATTTACACACACAATCAGAAGGGCAACTGAATGTTAAAGGTAAAATTATTCCCTTATTGAGTCCCCCTTTTTGGTATACTAGAAGCAGACATGTATATGTAAATAATCTAAAAATACCTCATGCAATAAGGAATTAGCTCTAGATATAAATAAAAAAATTATTCTATTACATTAGATTTATTATATTCTATTTAATATATTAGTAATTTTAATTAATTCTTTAATACATCATTAAATTCATCTTTATCCTTATAGTTTATCATAAATTGTTTCTATCCCATCTACAAATTAAATATACATCAGGTTCATTCTTTAATAACGTCTACATTTTCTTCTTAATTAAATAGAGTTAAGTTAAGTTAAGCGAAGCAGACTTTTGAATAATTTCTTCAAATAGCTTATATAAACTTTACAATCCTTTTATGATAAAAGATTTTATAATAAATTAAAAGTACTATTTTCTTGTACCCAATTCTAATTAAAGTAAATTCTTAAATAGATATGGCTTTTATAATTCCATATATTTCCATTAGTTTTTGAAATCTATCAATCTTACATAGATTTTTTAAATTTGAATAAAGACTTATTTTGAGTGATTCTGCAATTGCAAAAACCATTCCTTCATCTTCAAACGGAAATTATTCCAATAGTAATTTGATATTCTTAATAAGATAAATGCTTCAATTCTTTAAATTATAATCAATTTCCTCCATCAAGCATCGTAATCTTCATCAAATCCAAAAGATTAGGATCTTTTATATGCTTAATTTAATTTGATATCTAAATCAGAAATTCTCTTTCGAGTTAAAATTATTGAACAAATATTATTTCTGAATAATTTGTCATTATTTATGAATGCAATATCAAGGCACTAGAAATATTTTTCTTTCTTACAGCTTGGATTTATGTAATAATTGCCTGAAATCTGAATTAATTATATTGTTTATTTTTCTTTCTTAACCATTTTTTTAAATTATCATTATATTTATGAAAATATAACGATTCAACTAATAATTTAATTTTAGACAAGTAATTGATTCAATCTTTATAGAAATATAATTAGATAGTAATCAACAGAAATAAAATATATTAGCTTTAATTAATAATGTTCTAATTTTGTAAAATATGATATTACTTCAATATCTTAAATCCTCCGCTATTAATTATTATCATATAGTATACTAATATCTTCTTCATGTCTTTTAAACTCCATAGAAATAATAAACAAATTTTAAAAATAACCATCAACTATTGTTGTTATATATGTTGACAATTATTCAAATTCTTCTTGTTGTTGATCCAGATTGTTTAATTTAGTAACTACTAAATTGAATTCTCTAAATAAACAGCTAAAATCATTTCAAGACTTAAATGCCTTTTGCATAATAAAAATTATACTCAGAAGATTTTTTTATTCACATACTTTCAATTTTTCTAAATACATTCAACATCCTTTTAATCCTTAAATGTGATTCTACTCACTCAATATAGTGATATCTTTAATAAGTACATAGTTATTTTATAAGTGCTATCTATATTTTTGCATAAATAAAAATTTATGTTGTCATGTTGTCAATATTATTCATAATTCACAAACAAACCATTTTAGTATTTCTTTATCCAAAACCTAACTTTCTTTTTACAAAATTTTTTTCTCAATTTCAATAAACTATGAACTAATTTTAGTTATCGTTATTTTATATAGGCTATATATTCTCGTATATCCTTGAACTAAGAAGTTTTTTTCTTAACATCTAATCCTATGTTTACAAATCATTAATTAATCTATCAATGTTTTTCATAATCACTAGAATTTTCAAAAATCATAAATAATTATCAAAGCTACTTATTATAAAATTAAAATTCTAATATGAAATTTATAATCTTAAAAAAGTCATTAGCAAAAGTACGCAGATAATTCTAATATTCTTTGGTATTATAGAACTTTAGAAATGATTTATTATGTATAACTAAGGATTTTTGTTTAGAATTATTTGTTAACTTGTAAATTTAGATATAATTAGAGATATAAGATATGTATAAAATATAAATTTTATTTATTTAAAATGAAATTCAAATCATTTTTACTATTCTATTCCTCAAGATATTTATCATAAAAATATTTTAATATCTTGTTTTTTAATACATCAAGTACAATCCCAATTAGAAGCGACCCTGCAGCTCCACTAGTTGCAGTGATTGCTGTACGAACAGAAATGGTTATTATTGCTTTTCTTAATGCAGCAGCAGATAATGCAACAATAATTTCTTCTCCAAGTAATGCAGCACCAAATGAAGCTATAGCACCAATAATTGAATCTATCAGAGTTGCGATATAAAATCCTTTTATCAAATTTTCAATCAATTTTATTATTTCAATAATTTTTTCCATATTCTACCTTAAATTTTGTGTACTTATTTTGATAGGTTGTATTTGGTTATTTTAAAATAACTTTAAGCTTTAAATACATGATTAAACATCTTCTATTAATAAGCAAAAATAATTAGTTTAATTTTAAAACTCTGCAGTTTTTACATCTTCTTAAATTTTGAATTTTAGGTCTGATATTGATTCCTTTTTTACTGAAATCGATTTTGTTTCATCTTAAATATATTCATTAAATTAATTTGTAAATAAATCTAGGATTTATTAAATTTTAATGTTAAGCAAAAATGTTGACATTTCAGATAAATAAAATAATTTAGGTTCTACAAGTAATTCAAATTCTATCTATTAATTATTTGTTTTTAATTAACTTTGAATAATATTTATTATTTTTGTCTTAATGCTATTTGTTATAACTTCAACTGCTTGACTATTATTATTTAAATTTTCCTAAGGTTTGTAAAATTCTACACATTAATTATCATTAGCATACATAGTTTTATATAAACTATATCTTCCATCAAGCAATCCTTTATATGCCTAAGCCCAATTATTGATAGGTGCTATTTCAACTCTATAATCAACTCTTGTATTTTGTTTTACTTTAACTAAAATTAAAGAAAGCCAATTTTCATTTTCTAATAATAATTAATTTTTATCTTTCATCATTAAATAAATTGGGTCAATAGTATCTTTTATTATTTAGGCATCTCTAATAGATCCATCAAGCACCATAAATCCAATTACTTTTTTTGTTTTTTTAAGATAATTATATAAACTGATTCTGTGAGCTAACCTGGCATATCGAGATAAATTATCATCAAAACCAGGAAAATCAAAGTAATGAATATCATCAATTTGCATTTATGAAATCTTCTATGTTTCATTCATACAAACATGTTTAATTTTAAATATAGTTTAGTATTCCTATTTAACAGAATAACATGGACAGTCAATTATTTTTCAACAGTCAGGCTTGAAGGTTTTTTAATTAAATTTAATATTGTACTCTTCCCTACTCTACTTTTTCCAAAAAAATAGACTCCTTTCTCTATCACTTATTATGGTTCTGGCTTAATTAATTCATTAAATCTTTTGGTAAGATATATCTTGTTTTCTAAAAGAAATTTATAATTTTATTCCAAAAATCAACATTTATTGCCAAATTCTAAATTTATACAAAGTTAAAATCATTATATTGATGTTGATTGTAATCCTTAAAAAAATCAACAATTGCTTTAATATTTAATGCTCTTAAGAATTATTAAGGAAATTTAAGATCATTTAATGTGTATTTTTTGTAATTCAAAAATTCTTCTAAATTTAACATATTTAATTTTTCTAAACATCTATTGATCTAACTTCCTTCATTCAAACTTAAATCATTGATCTATTACAGAATATCATTTAAATCTGAAAATTTTGCTGTTATTTTACACTTTTCAAGGGTCTACGAAAGAAGTTTTAAATACTTTCCTAAATTTTACATCAAACTGAATTCTTACTCAAGTTTAGGAATTTGCTGTAAACTATAAAGTTATAAGATAAATGTGTTTATTTTTTAATTGATTATTTTCAGTAAGTTTTGTTTATACTCATCCATTACACAACTCATTACACCATATGAAAATAAAATTGGATTTTAAAAAATTTTTAATTTTTTGAATTTATCCAGTTTAAATATTTTCCTGAGGATTTTCTTCTTTTAGACCTCTTCAAATGATAATTAAGAAGCCAATTTTACATTTTTTACGTATTCTAATCCAACGTGAGATTTTTCTGGTTAAGATATAAGTGAGATTTGCTCTTCTCTTAAAGTAAATTTTCCAACTTTCATCACCTCCAAATCTAGTATATTCTTAAGTTTATCTTTATCATTATTTCCTCTTAGTTCATGAAATTAATAGTCAATCAATTAAACTAAAATCTTTTCTAAATTGATTTTAGATGAACAAGCCTAGATTTTTTGTTCTTTATCATAAATACTCTTTAGCCCATAAGGGATATTAATAAGGTAACATTACCGATCCTTTTTCTCAATCTAGACTATCTTAAATTATTCATTTTAGTTATCCGAAAGACAAGCAAGTTTTTCAAAGTGACTATAATATTCACCAAAGACATTATGTCTAAATCCTAAAAATAATATAACTTTTTTGTTAGAAACTTAGTTTTTTATTTTACAAAGTTTTAAATTATCTTAAATTTATAAAATCTCTTATTATATTTCCATGAGGACTGTCTCTTCAACAATTTCATTATCTTAATTTTAATGTTATTACATTTCTATTACAAATATATTAATGTTTATAATTCATAATTCAATAAGATTTATATATTATCATCTAATTCTATAAGAAAATTGTGTATTAAAAAGTATTTCATATAAGGGTTTCTATCTATTTTGTTTATGATTCTTACAAATGTAACTCAAAGATATTCACAAAGCATCTTCTTAGATTTCTTAGATTGTATTTAATAATTTAATATTTGAAGCATTAGCTATATTTCTGCAAGTTATATTCACTAATTTGGATCACAGAAAAACCATACTTGTGTTTTACATTATTATAATAAATATTGGGGAAATTTGGGAGTTGTTAAAAAGTTTGACAACAGTCAAACAGAATTAAAATGAATAAAAATCTATTGAAATCCAGATTTCCTTTCGAATTAATTTTACTTAAAATTTTCCTATTTTAAGAGTAATTGAATTTTTTTTATACATATTCTATCATCTCCTACTTTTTAAAGACTACTGGACAATTTAATAAAGAACTATTGACTTAAACTGAAACTTAGAAATTGAATGTCTATTAATAATAAATATTATAAAGATTCACGAGTTTAAATAAAGATTGATACTAATAATATGAAGGGATTCATGTTCTTGAGAATTAATGGTTATGTTATATTCAAAAATAATTTAATTAATAAAGGATAATTCTCTCTCCTCACAATATTGTCAGCATTAGAAATATCGAAGAGAATAAATTCTTAACTGCATTTTATTTTGTAATATCCTTATGATCCTTTATAAGAGTACTTAGGTCCCAAACTTATAGAAAAACCTCATATAATCTTAGAAAATTTCAAGTTGAACTAAGTCCCTTATTTTCTCCACTACAGAGTCCCCTCCATTAGTTTATTAAATTTCTTTAAATCATGATTGATCTCAATTCTTTCATTCTAACTATCATAAGGGCATTGTTAATGACATCTATATAATTAAGGGCTAATAAAAAATTTATTTATCTTCATAAATATATGTACTCAGTTTATTCATTTCAAGGTTAAAATTATTCCTTAAAATTAGTATAATAGATATCTGGTGGATATTTTATTTTCTTTCTAGATTTTATATTCTGCAACTATTACTCACCCCAATAATTTTTTGGACTGAATGTTAAGAAGACCAGGCTGGTGATGATTATATAATTTACTAAAAGTATATTAAGGATTCATATAATTTATAATAGCTATACTGTTATGATGGCTTTAAACGGTATTATCTAATTATTTTTCAATGAAAAAAAATGGAAAATTGTAAAATTACATAATTTACTAATAGTTATTGAATCTTATATAGAGATTAAAAAGTTTTTGCAATAATAATTTTTATAGTTATTGATTTCTTTTCAAAATAGAATTGAATATGATAATATGTAATATATAAAGTATTCGCATTTTATAAAATAAATATTTTTAATTTTTTGTTAAAATTAAGTATCTTGATATAGTCTTCAAGAAAATCCTTATTTTTGTTGAATTAATTTGAAAATGATAACTTTTGTAAAATGAATTAAGGAACTTGAATATATGTAAATTAGATTAATAATCTACTTGACTTGTTAGTGGATATAACCCTTCGATGGTGCACATGAAAGAGCATCTATATCTTTGAAAATTCGAATCTTATAGAATAGACTCTAATGAATAAATTATTTTTCAATTGTATGTTTGAGTAACATTTTAATTTAATTTTACCAACAATTATAGTATTATCTTACTGTCCCTCGTAAATTTTATGAATTACTGTAATTTTGCAATTCTAGATTTTGGTGACTAACAAGATTAGCCTTTTAGACTGAATTGCTCATGAGGAAGCAAGCTTCTTAAGATATTTTAGGATGTTCTATATAGGCAATTTGAATGAAACCTTCAAGATTGAATAAATATCAAAAATATATTGGTTAACCCTCTGATTTGAAATTATTATTCTCTTTATCTAAGTAAGTGAAACAATCATTCTCTTAATCTAAAATTTCCAATAATACAACTAAACCACTTTTGATATTGTAAAAGAATACCCATCAAATATTTGAAAAAATATTCTTATATGAGTTTCTGCTAATCTGATAACAACAGTAAAAATGATTAGCTTTTCGATTACTGCATGTTATACTTTTTTTTTATTTTGATAATTTTTTATGAATATTTATTTTTTTCATAAATAATAATTTATTTAATGTAATTTTCCTGACTTTCTCAAATGTTTTTCAAGAATATTGAATAAAGAAAACAGAATTAAGATGTTTTTTTTTCTTTATTCATTTAAGGAACATGACAGATAAAATAAATCTATATCCTATTTTAGATTATAAAAATTAATTGTTTAATGTTTAAGCTTCAATATTGATTAATTTTCTGAATATTTTTATATATAATCGAAATAATAGATATATAATAATTAGATTTAATTATAATCTCTGATATCTTTTAAATTTTTAGAAAACATTATTATCTATTCAATTTTTGGATTTTTGAGTATACTTATATGAATTATTTTTGAATGCCAAATCTCAATGCCTGTATCTATTTCATGTCAATAAATTTTTTGATATTTTGATTAATAATTCAGAATAGGCTCAAAGTTATTTTGAATATTAAATATTGAAAAATAATTCTTTGAATATTTTACTGCATATATATTTTTATTTATAAAGCTTTTGAATGGGACAAACTAAACATTTTTCAAATTACTTTTAATCCACTTTCCTAAAGGACAGACAATATAAATATCAATTCTAATATCTGTGAGATCCTTCTCTAAATTAACATAGAATTCACCTGCAGTATTTAATATTTAATTATTATGTAAAAAATGAACAGAAATTGAAGTAGCAGATACAAGCTATGATTTTAGTGTGACTTCAAATTATTGAAATTTAAGAAAAAGAAAGGTGAGAGAGAAATCTATAAGAAGGAGTAAAAGCACTCCATCTACAAATTTGGATAGTATTTTAAAAGTGGATAAACTATTCTAAAATAAATGAATTCCCTTACAACTAATATTATTTATCCAATCTAACTGCATTCGTAAAATGATATCCCATTCCAGTAAATAGTGATATAAACTATCCATTTAATTTCTCATCAATAAGTTTTAAATAATCATTTGTAGAATAAAAATAAAATTGTAAAATGCTTCTTTTGGTACTAAAATAATTTGAAATTCAACTTATACATATTGAAGAAAATCCTCAGGCACTTTTGTCAAAGTAACTGTAACATTTTCACTCATAATTGAATTGATCTCATTTACACTAAAGTAATCCTAGAGTTTAAAATGATTTCATCAAGATATGTTATTGGTAAAGTTGATTTCAATCATTTGACATTTTAATAAAATAAAACTGGTAAAAAAATGAAACTAAGAATTAATTTTAAACAAAAATTTTTATTTTATGTATTATCCCAATTTAAAAATTCGTTTCAAAAAGTTATAACAGAAAATTTTAGAATCTGGTTTTTATTTTAAAGTAGGATTAAAGTGAAGTCAAAAATTAAATTTAAATTGAATACTATAGATATTGAAACTTATAAATTGGATCATTGAAAAAGTATATAAAGAGATAAATTATAATAATTGAATAATTAAATATCAAAAGATTGAAAAATTGATGCTTATTAAAAAAGTTTTCAAAAAGAAAAATGAATTTAACAATGATTTATTAATTTGTAGATATTAATTTTATGATATTAAATATATTAATATCGATTCTAGGTCATTTATAACTCTAATTATAAATTATCTAATTCTTAGAATTTACAAAACTTAAGAGGATGATTAGAAACTATAATATAATGTATGTGAGTATTATGAAGAAGATTTCAATGATTCTTAAAGCCCAATAAATGGATTGGTTATCTTTAAAGTATTAATTCTCTTAATATAAAAAATATTTCATTCTCTATGATTATACTTAATGCTGATTTCTTCTTTCTTCAAAAATTAGATTTCGTTACATCTACCTAATTTTATTGATGTAAATTTTCTTATGATCATAAAATTTCTAAGACATATATTTGATAATATTTTTATAAGGCATTTTCTTATTACTAGATTAAAAAATTGTAAATGATAAAAAAGTTCTTATTGTTTGCATTACTATAAAATTTGTTATTGTCTGGATATTTCAAATTATTCAATAATTACCTATCAATTGTTTTCCATTCCCAGAATCGAGTTATTAAAAATAATGTTTTCAAAATGTATAATACATAAAAATATCAACCTTTTTCCTTAAAGAATTTAATTAACTATTCAATAAATTTATTTTGTTATTCAAATATAAATATAATTTATACCTTCTTATTAAATTTCTATAATTAAGTTGATATAGATATATATTTGTAGAAAAGTTTTTAAAAGTTAAAATGATTGTGAAAAATTGCTAATGTCTTTTATTTGATTATAGGATTAAGAGAAAGCAGAATTTCACATAAATATTAATTATAATTAATACTCAATCGTATTTTGTTAATAACAAGACAAAAATAACCAAAATTTTAGTAATATTTTTTCAAATTAATACCTTTTTCAATAAATCTTTTTGTATATTCTGAAGGATTTTAAGTTGAAGAGTCTAGATCTATTTTTACATTAACGGATTTTTTTGTGACCTACGCAATCTTTTTTTCAGCATTCCATTTATAAAGATAATCAATAATTGCAATATGGTAATACACTCCTTTTTCCTTAATGGATGGTAATAGTAAGATTTAACTTCTTATAGTTGGATCTCTAAGTCTTAAAATAAGTAATATAATAGGAGTCCATAATTTAGCTGAATTTTCAATTGTAATTCATTTTTGAATATCGAGCAATTAAGTCTAACTAAGATATATCTTATTGCTTGAGTTAATTATCTACAAAATTAAGATATTATATATGAAGAATAATTTTGAGTACTTGTCCTATCAAATTTAGATATCCTTGATTCTAAGAAAGAGCCTTTCTTGATAGATACCGTTATATAAACTGACAGGAGAGTACTTACAAAAATTTACCCACCCAAATCAAATCCAGGATTATACTTTAATCTATAATTGCCAATAATGACAATCCATGTTAATGAAAAAATTTTGTTATCAAAGTTTCAGAAATCATTGTAAACCATGAAATAGCATTAAGTATGAGAGGTAATTTTTTTCTTGCTATTCCCTCAAAGTTATTCTTCAATAAGAACAGAATGTAAGATTTTAAGTGACTAAACTAGTTCCAGCAAATATGCTTACCATTAAATTGATTTAGCAAAATAGTTCATAAATTAATGGACTATATGCTTGTATTGAAGCAATGAATACATAACTGCAGGCATTTTTCAAGTCTTCGGATAAATAATAAAACTTAACATTATAATCATTGCTAAAATGAAGGCTATTATTACTAAGTAAACTAAGTTATAAAATCATTATGAGAAAAATATTACTCTAGAGTTTGTAGTTTTTATAGCTTCAGATAGCTCTTCATCGCTTAAATCTGCATTAAAAGCAATAGCATTTGAATCACTATAAATTCCTTTACTTGAGTGATTATTACAAGAATTAAGCCGGCATTTAACATTTGAAATTTCTGATTTTGATTGTAATTCAGAAATCATTATTTCATTATTTACAATTATGTTTCTCAAAAAAATTAATAAAACATATAATATAATAATTTATTATAAATCTTTAATTTATGGTAACAATTAGATTATTAATATTTACAATATTTTTCTGCAGAAAACTTTTCTCTATTGTCATACAAGATATGAGAATTCTTTGGATCTACTCAAAGAAAAGCTTTATAAGTAGATCCAATGAAAAGCATATTACAACAGAGGTGAATTTCTAATTCAGCTCTAGTAATGATTATTATAATATTAGGGTCTCTATGTGGATTTTGGCAGAATAGGGTAGAAATTCCTTCAAAAATAGAAATGCATGAAATAACAAAGGTTAAAGTAATATATTGAAAATAGGTTGTATTTTTGTTTTCATAAAAATAAAGACAATAGCCAGGATTAAAAAGCTGTGTCAGACCTTTTTCTTATTTTATTATTTATTTACTGTATAAAGGACCAATTTTGATTAAATGATAAGTTTTCAAAGTAATATATCAAAATCAATATTGGTCTGATTACAAACATAAATAATTAAATAGTTAAAATTTCTAACATCATTCGTTTAATACTAAATTATTTATGAAATTGAGATTTAATCTATTTCTAGATTTATGATATGTTTATATAATTAGTAATTTATTTCATTTTATAAAATTAACACAAAACAAAAATTACAAATAGGAAATAATTGAAAAGAAGAACAATAGTATTAGTTTAATTTTCTATAAATTACTTATATAATGTTATTTGAATAATTTTTGATGATATTTGAAATTTAATTTCTTTTAATGTCGTTTAAAAATATAAAGAATTAGTATTTATTATAATTTATAATAATCATAAAAAAATTTATATTTAGAAATCTTATTATATGTATTCAATTGATTAACTATTTATTTGTTCATTCGTTATATTAGCATCATTTAAATTGTCTAATGTTACTTTTTTAATTAATTTTTCTGATATTTTTGTACACAATTAATTGAAATATATTAAATTTGAAAAAAGAAATTCTTTAAATGAGCAAATTGAATCAATTTAAAAAATTTCTTAACCATGGGCTTTTTTATAAATGGTACCCAAAAGGAGAGATAGATCAATCCTTTTGGCTGGAAGAGATTAAGATTTAAATATTCTACCTAAGCCAAATTAGTATATTATTCTACAAAAGCTCAAATTTTTTAAGCAATAAATTTTAAATTCTTCTACTCTTTCAGATTTATCATATTTTATATGTATACAATGATTCATCTATTTCTTTTAAACACTACAGATTTTTAAATTTACAATTTTGATATAATTTTAGATCATTGGAGACTTAAAATTATTTTTTAATTTATCAGAATTCCTGAGTACTCATAATTGATAATTTATTCATTTTATTACATGTAATAACAATACCCAGTCAAAAAAGGATCTAGAACAACAAATATCTTCTTTCTTATCCATTATACAATCATATGGCACTCTCTCTATATTAATTTACCAAGATCTTTATAGATTAGTGGATTCTATTTAATTTATATAGAATTCACTAATTAATAATCTATATTACTTTAACTCTTATTTGAAATACTTAAAGGCACACCTTACCTTAAAGTTTTAACTTGGTTTCGCATTTGGTCACTTCCTATTCATTTGCTATGGAGCTTTACAGTCATCCTAATCCTAAGCCTAATTATTAAAAAAAAATTGTTCTCCAATTTAGTTAATCGAGGAGCAGTAAATAAAGTCCACTTTTATAATCTCCATTTTGGTCGACAATTTAATGGCCTTGCAAAAAATCCATTAGGAATTGCTATAATTAATTAAAGGTTCTACAGTTTGATATAGACTAATTATCCAAACAATTCTTACAATATAAATACTTTTAACTTTTCTTCTCCTAACCCATATCTAACAAAGTAATCCTTTTTTATTTATAATAAAAAATTATTTTTTATCAAAATAATTTCACCCCATGAAACCTAAATTGGAGTGGAGGTTCAAAAATGAAAGAGTGGTTATATTCGATTTCTTGTACAGCAATTTGTAATTTATCTTCCTCTTGACCTAAGAAATGATGAAAGATTAATTAGTAGGGACCTTGAAGTTTTGAAACCTCTACACTGTTTGATCGAGCAGAATATAGTTTACAATTACAGGGAGGTCTATCTTTAGTTGCTTCGCTTTCTGTGTGGTGAATTGGAAGAAGGGATCATTTGTTCTAGAATTTTTTTGGAATTTTTGTTCCCAATCGTAGTAAACTTAGTACGTCATTAAAGATACATCTACCTTGAGGGATAAAGTTGCAGAAGTTTCTTTAATTAAAAATAATTCCAAATGATCTAATATTATTATAATTATTACTTAGTAAATCCCTTGAATCAATTCACATTAAAACCAAATTGCAGGTTGCAAGCCTATTTTAGTTTTATATGGCATTGATAGTATTTCTATATAGTATATTTATTACTTAATTAAAATCATACTTATATCTTTTTGTTCTTTCTTTTGAATGAAACATAAAAATAGTAATAATTGAAAAAGATCTAATAGCAAATTTTATTTGTTCATTTTAGCAAATCGTTCTTTGGAGATCATAATTATAATTGTCAGAAATAAAACAATTCTATGTTTAGCAGTTTAATATTTATTACTAAATTCAAAAAGTCAATTTTAAGGGTAGAAATCTACAAGTTACAATTAATTTAAGTCTCTCAAAGATAATTAAAATGATTAATAGTTTGTAATGGATTTCTCACAAATATCCATTTAACCTTTATTAAATCATCAGATTTTTTATATATAATATTATTATTATAATGTCTAACTACAATTTAGAGTCAATCTTATTTTAATGAATTGTTTATGCAAAGATACATAATACTATTTTAGTGATTTTGAGTTGTGATCCAGGATTTTATGATCTTATGGCCAATTGTATATATATAAGTAATTTTCTATTTAAATGTTTAATTTGTCCAAATAGTACAACATCTGACAAATACTAACCATGAATTAATAGTAATCTTTTTATCCGTTTTTTCTGCTAAGTTATTTTATTTTGCAGTTTATAAATTTGGAGCAGTTCTAATGAATGAAAAGTTTTAGTACTTCTAATAATTGCTAAGCTTGCACTACTCACAACTAAACAATTTTAAATACAAATAGAAAATAAAAATAACTATAGTATCATATCTGCTCAAATTTATCATATCCCCTTTTTAAACTACTTAAATATTTTTCTAATAATATTGAGTTTACGCAACATAAATGTGAACTAATTTTCCCTAAAATTCATTATTAAATTAAATGTTAAAACCAAAAATGAAAGAAAATCAAAAAGATTTTCGATGTTCAAAAGGACATAATCTACCAGTAACTAATATTGCACTAGATCCAAAATTATCAAGGAAATAGAAACTCTTATGTACAGAATGTTTAATTGATGCAGACTTAGATACCAAGGTGGTTGGATTAAAAAAAATTATTTCATTAACTGAAGAAAATTAGGTAAAAAAGATGGAAACAGTAGAAAATATAATAATGAATTAAATAGAATTAATTGAATCATTACATGGTATTGTAGATCAAATGAAATCATTTGTAATCCAATAATTAAACTAATTGATTACTATTCTGATGGACTGAATTCAAATTCTTAAATAATAAGGATCATAAGATTCTTAATATAGTTTTTACGAAGAATTAGAAATTATGTTTATAAAGTAAAATAAAACTGATGACTACTTATAAATAATAATCAATGAAATTTAGTAAACCAATCTCTGTTGGACTTCAAAATTTAATCATAAACTAGAAAAATTTTAATAATTTGAGCAATATAATAAATGTAAGGAACTATTATCTTGTTTATTATTAGGTTCTTAGAATTTTAATCAGAGTGAATAAAGATAATAAATCGATATCAAACAAAAAAATAAAGAAATAGAATGTTTAAATAGTCACTTAAATATAAAAGAATCAGAAACTATTTAATCTACTCATCCAATTTATCTCAAACCATTCAATTATTAAATAATTTAACAAACTTCTTTTTCATAAAGAAATTTGTGTTTAGCAATAGCTGTTGATCATGATTGTTACAATATTTTTTAATCTTTGTTTTTAATCTAATCTTATATTTGGAGAGTAAAACAAAGATAATAATTGTAAAATTAACTTCTATAATGGTCAATGAGATGTTAATTTTCATTCAATATTTTCCAAATAAGATTTTATCATAATAAAAATTCATTTGATTGATGGTTGTATATCATGATTGAATATCATTTAATTAATATAGTACTTATATCTATATTGATAGAAATTATCTAAATTTTATTTTCAAAAGTACTTTACAATTAGATAATGGAAAAGGTCTAAAATATCAATTCTTTTATTCATTGAACCGATCATCAATCATGGAAAATCTTGGATTAAGTAATTATCAAATAATGATTAACTAGAACCATCATAATCATATTTAATTTCAGTTGAAATCTAATAAACTTTTAATTGAGTAAATTATAAAGAATCAGCAACAAGTGGTCAACTTTAAATAGCTTTAAACAAAAAGGCCTCCTTTACTTCCATTAAAATTTATTTTTTAAATAATGAACAACTAATTATTAATTTATTTGATTTCTATATTAAGGTTTTTGTACATAAATTCAATTTTCAATTATTAAAGAAAATTAGATAAACTAATAATTACTTTAATTATATCAGATCTCTCTGAATATTGAATATTAGAATTAATTATAAACTATTTGTATTGATACTTTTTTTATAAATAAGTTAAATATTTAATATTTCCCTTTAATTTAGACTCTTCTTATAAATAAATTGTTTCTTTAGAGCCATATTATAATTAATTAGAATATCGAATAGATTAAAATTGTATTTATTCTATAAAACTAATATATAATATCAATTATAGTTGAGCCTTTAAAATATTTCTATTCATCAAATTTTTTAATTTTTATGGACTGAATTATTCAATAGTATAATTTTCTAATTGTCCTCTTTTTATATTTCACATAATATAATCAATTTTCTTTTACCTTTTGTTAGTAAAATTCAATATTAAATATTATTTAATTTTATTACTTCATTTATATTATAATTCATATATTGAATACTCTCTTTTCTTCTAATCCCAAAAAACTAAATGTAATCCATTATTTGTGGCAGCTCCATAAATTCCATTTATATCTAAATTGATTTATTCAACTATCTTGAACTTTCCATTATTTAATTCCCTTATGAAATAGATGTAAGCTTTATGCCTTACTATCATCAAATTCCTTTATTTATTATAAACAATTGGAAAAAGGACATATTCTGTATTTTATTTTAATTTATTTAAATTTTCTTTTCCTAATTCTCTTGATATACACCTTCTTATAATTCAAATACGATAATTTCGTCAACTTATTTACTATTTGGTACCCAAACAAACTTATTCTCCTTGATAAACTATACTTTTAATCCTGGATTTTTGTTAGGCTGTGTATAATTGAAGTATTTATCAAAAAATTATTAAATAATTATTTCCATTTAATGAATAATATATGTAAAACTTTATAAAATAATTTAATTGTTAATCTTTAACGATTATAAAAAAATATTTGAATTCCATTTTATTATTTAATCCTCTCTCCCAAATAATTATTTAATCCTCACCATATGCACATGATACTAATTATCTCTCTGATTAATTTAAACTTAATCCATAAATATCATAATCGTGCTTTTCTAATGAATATTGATATATCAATTCATTCTTATCGAAATCTAATTTCCATACTATTATTGTCTTATCCTAACTTCCAGAAAATACTTAATCCTCATTTTAATTTACAGTCATACAGAGAACTTTATGAGTATGCTATTCATATGGGAATGAGCCAATCCAATCATTTCCCCCCTAATCTTTCCAAATTCTTATTGTCTTATCACTTGAACAAGAAATAAAAGAATTCTATTTCTTACTAAACATTAGTGCATTTACCCAACCAGTATGTTAATTCAAACTTTATAGTAATTCTAGTCTTCCATTATTAAAATTCCATACTTCAATAATACTTTCATTTGTTGATACCATGATTGAGTCAGAAGAATTAAAAGCTATGCTTACACAACAATTCTTTTATTTAACTGAGAAATCAGTTTATTTTAATATAATGTCATCTTTTAAGAGTAAAATTTATTTTTCATCTTTTTTATTTTATATCAAATCAAACTTTGAAATCATAAATTGATGATTTAATAAGATTTCTTTGAGGTTATTATATTCTGGGAATTAGTTGACTAATTCTAATTTAAGTGTTAGTTTTGAGTTCCAATTATTATGTTCTTCACAAATTTTTTTCATTAATAAATTTTCATTGAATCCCAATTCATTTTTATTATTGATCATATTTTCTAATTCTTCATGAAAATTGTAGTTTTAATATCTCAATCCTAAAGACTAGAGATTATTGATCCAATCATGAACAATAAATTTCAATTAATCTAATTATTGAATGATATTTGATTTCAACTAATCTATTTGACTTTGAATTAATTAAATTTATTTTATGTTAATGATGATGACGTTTTCAACTTGATCTATTTTTAACTTTTATTATTCTTCAATCATTTGAATTATTTTCTTGAATCCAACTGCTTTTCCTTCTATATCTACATTTTCCAAGCATTCATTACATAATAGTCTCTATTCCTTCTTTAATAATGGATTCAGAACAACTTAAACTATTGGAAGATTATGTTGATATGCACATTGCAGTGATTTTTCATTTTCTATCATTTTTGTTTTAAACATTATTTTAATTAATTAATCAATTCATTAAATTGTTAGTATAAATATCAAAAATAAATAATAACGCTGAGTTAATATTTTCTTTTATAAGTTGAAATAGATATTATACTTATGTTAAAGAGATTAATTCTAGTCTTATAGAAACTATCAAATTTAAGTTGAAAATTCCTAATGATTAAATTTTATATCAACCTTCATTTTGCAAGATTAAGTAATTTTATTATGGATCTGTATATTAACATTCAAATCTAAATTATTTTCTTAATTTTATTTCTATTTCAGATTAATTCATTGAAGTCAACGATCAATATTTGAATTTTGTTGAATTTTATATTTATTCTTGATTTAATTTTGATTTTGATAAAGAAGTAAGTTATTTTAATTCTACTCTCATAATTTAGATTAAATTAAATATTAAACAAAATCTAATTATATAATTTATATACTCTATTAATTCTGATTTTTTTATTTGAGATATGCTTAGTTGAAGAACAATTTTGATATTTATTTTCAATTATAATTCTTATTTAGTATATCCCTGTTCGATTTTTTAATATTTTCATGTAGTTCTTTTTTATTTATAAATCCATATGTATTTTTTTAGATTGTTTAAATAATATTTAAATAATTACATTATTATTCTATTTAATGGTTTTATATAAGCAAAAAAGATCATTTAATTTACAATCAATTATGATTAATTTAATCTGTTGCTTTATAAGATTCTTCTTTTTAGAAGGGATATGAACTTATTAAATTATATTTATTAATAATCTTTTCTTAAAAGGTTTCTCTTTTAATGTTGATAATAATGTATTTGTAATTTCTATCTCCCTATATATAGAATCACCTAAGACTTATAAAATAAGTTAATCATTTAAATTCTTAGTTAAATGGTGTTAATCTCTGTATAATGATATTATTGTATTTATCTGAAAGGCAACATTAAATAAAAAGTATAAATTTAATTAAATATATAATATAGTATATTTCACATTACTATTTAAACTTACTTGAATTATTTTTAATTATATTTGATTCGATTATTTGAAATTCTTATTTAAATTAATTGAAATTTATTTATATCAGATAAATACCATCATCTTAATTTGGCTTAAATAAAGAATATTAACAAAAAATTTTAGTATCCTAAGCTATACTATGTATCTCATTAGATTTATTTTCATTTTATTGCGTTAAAAAATGCTTCATCGTTAAGATACATAGGTTAAGTCAAAAAAAAAAAAAAACTTATAATTATCACATTAAAATTATAATTCGACATTTCATTTATTAATAGACAGATTTATACCTGATTTTTAAATTTAATACCATTATAGTCTAAGACTCAATAATCTTAAGATTCCTTACTAATGAATTTTCAATTAAGTATTCAAATAAATGATATTTTTCTATTTTTATTGATTAATTAAATGAATTAAAAATTTCTCAAAGTTTATTATTTAAAATTGCCAAAATATCCACATATAAATTTGGATTAAAATAATATATTATCATTAACAAAATTTAGTAGATCAAATTTATTACAAGCCATTAATAATCAAAAATTATTAGGTTGATTTAAAAATAATTACAAAATTATTAGAGTACTACTTTAACAAAGTTTCTTCTTTCCAAAAAGATTATTTTTTCATAATAACACTTAAAGGTTAAAACTTGGTTTTATTTATTAATTATGTGCAAAAATGTTGAAAAACAATTGAATTTTATGTTTAAATTGAGCATAAAAAGTTCAATATAAATTTAAGCAATTTTTATCTAAAAAATAAAATATCATGTCCAAAAGATATAGTCCAAAGAACTCTAGATAAGGACCTTACCAAGCCAAAATAAATAGCACATCAATTGGTGAGGAGTCTCTCTAGGAAAGCAGAGTACTTTGAGATATTGAAGAATCAAACAGATATGCCATTGATTAATAAATCAGCAAAGATATCTAATTTGACTTTAATGCTGTTTTGATGACTGATAGCTGTTGGCCTAAATTTAATATTTTTAAAAATATCATTAAGCCACTTAAAATTTAGAATATTTTGGAGTTTAGATTTACTTATTGTTTATAGGAATTATGAAAAAACTAATTAAATTAAATACAAAGGAAAATGGTACTTTAATTTAGGGCAGGCTGAATTGATATATAAAATATAACAGAAAAATACTTCTTGAATGTGAATACAATGTAAATGATTGTTTTCTTTTTATTCAGTAAAGCAGATTCATTCTCTATCAAAAAATATCTTGGATTTGACTAATATTGATAAGAAAGTTTTAGAAAATTCATGATACATTTCGTTTGTATGAAAATAATAACTAGGGCAAAATAGGACATTGAAGATTTCTCAGATGAATATGAAGTTCTGAAATTAAGCAAGGGTTTCACAAAAGAGCCAAAAAAATTAAATTGTTTCCTAATCACAATATGTAGCCAAAAAGGGCTGTAAAGCCAATAATTTAAATTTCTAGCATGATGAAATGAGGAACATTAAAAATTAAACAAGCAAAGAGAATTATTTGTGAATTTCTTAATTGATAAGATTGATGAAACTAAAAAAATAATTGATCATTATAAATTACTTTAAAATTGCTAATCTATGATTTCTATTTTTAAAAAAAATTTTTAATTAATCAAAAATAGAATAGATAATTTGAGTTAGAAATTTTATATTATAAGAGATGAACAAAATTTGTATTTATTAATTATATCAATTCTTTAGAAATGTTTATCATTATCAGAATTGAACATAGAAAATTTAAGTATTAAATAAAATAAAATATATTTAAAATACAATTTATTTAAATCTGAAATACAAGAAAAATGGTTTTTTACAGAAGATTTTGCTACATAAGAAAATGTGTGATTCAATTTTTCAGAATCTCTTTCATTTTCGATCTAAATCTTAAGGAGTATTTGTTCAACTCTTCCTTCTTTACTTAATAAATATTGTCATAAATAATGCAGTTTATTCTTAATTTCTTAAGTAGAAATCATTTCAAACAGGATAAAATTATGAAACCCTTTTTGAGATGTCACCTTCATTAATAAGCAGCAACAATAAATAATTTTTCACCATTTTATGGATGTTGCATCATACTGAAACGAATGGAATTATTCGAACAATTGTTATTTGTTTTCAATATTTCTTGATTAAATCCCTATTAGACTTTATTAAAAATTTGGTAGCTAAATATAAAGTTTAAGATCTATTGTGATAATAGCCTTCGCAATCTCAAGTGTATTCAATAAATTCTTTTTCTTTGGAGACAATCGTAGATTGCCACAAACCAAAAAATTGATGTTTTGATAATCATATCATTTATTTTTAGTTTATTTCTATTTTTAAAGTTAGAGATGTTTATACTAAAAATTGAGCAATCTTTTGGATAATAGTTCTTAATAATGTTGAAAAGAAAATATCTCGTTGATAAAGTAATTGAAAGAGACAAAAAATTTAAGTCAATAGTTTATCAGTTTCTATTTCATTTCTTCCTTCATCTCTTCTTATGATGATATCAATATATATGGCTAAAATTTTTGGAGATTTTTCATGCTTATTTTACAAGTACATTAATGATTTACTGTATAAATTTTTGACTCAGGTTCTTTTTCCAATTAATTAAAACAAATATCTTAAGTTTTTTCCATTAATCTTAGTATATTAGTGTAATAGAGTTCAGCTTCATCTAAAAATTAATTTAACTAAATACTTTTTTAATCTATTTATTATTAACTAACAACCGAATTATTTAAACCCTATCCTTTTTATTCAAAATACTTTTATATTTTAATTATTCATTCCTTAATTTGAATATATATTTGAAGAAAAGTTTTATTTCATCGGTCTAGCTGCTTGATTACTGACTATTATCAGCTTTAATTGTTGAATTTATGCTTAATAACTATTTGGATAGCATTCCCGAACATATATCCATTTCTAATTTGAAATGGAATTTGCCCAATTTATAAACTCTGTAGTAGTTAAGTTTAATTTATCATCTATTTCATTCTTATAATATTTTTAAGTCTAAGGATAGAAACAAACTTTACTTCTAATAAAAATTGAGATTAAAATTATTCTTCTTAGAATATTAATGCATCCTTTTTATTTTTATTTTGCAAATATAATCATATATTCCAGATTCTTGCATATACTTCAATTAACTTCTTTAAAACTCATGATAGGATATATTTAGATGAGATGTTTGATTTTTTTATTCATTAATATTCCATTCTTTCTTGTTTCATATTTAAACTATAAAATTGTACTCAGGATAAGCTTATTGCATTTATCAAAATATCCCTCTTTAAATAATTTAAAAGAAGTTTTAATATTAGTTTTCCCATGATATGGCATAATAAAATAATCCAAATTATAGAAAAGTTTTTAATGCTGCCAATATGAATAAGCTTTGTAATCATGAAATGTTTTTTAACAATAAAGAGTAC